AACCGATTGTACTTTTGATAACAATAGCACATTCGGCCGTACGCTTTCAATAAAACAAAGAATTTGTCCACAATTTGCGGATTTCTCAATCGCTACGAGTCACGTGACCTGTTTTTGCCGCTTTCCAGTTCTAGACTGCAGAAGGCAAACGCCACCTAACTAGTTTCAATGTATGGAATCACATAGGTAATTTGGGATTTTAGGTCAACTTCCCCTTTAAAGTTGAACACAGAGTTTTGTAGCTTCAACAAAACTAACAGAGGTGTATGAGTTCCTCAAAAGCCTGTGCTAATCCCAAAGTTGGAATAGTTACCACTTTATTACCATATGTAATTAGCAATGTTAATATTAATATTATATTTAACAATATGTTATATGCATAAATATTCAAGGACATTTTTCATTTGCAGTGTACAAACTTAACATGGGGCGGCAGGTAGTTTAGTGGTTAAGAGCGTTGTGCCAGTAACCGAAAGGTTGCTGGTTCTAATCCCCGAGCCGACTAGGTGAAAAATCTGTCGATGTGCCCTTGAGCAAGGCACTTAACCCTAATTGCTCTGGATAAGAGCGTCTGCTAAATGACTAAAATGTAAATGTAACATGATGCACGGGAATGACATTTATGCTAACAGGTAGCCAAAATGAATATCTGAAAGCCATGCCTCCAATCTACAATATATTATTAAAAAAGGTTCAAAATTGAACCCCTCCCATCACAAAAAAAATCCCAGTTTGAACCTTTACACAGGGGTTCCTCAAATACCATTTTCAGAGGGGTTCCTCGAGGAACCTTTTGAACTGGAAAGATTCCGCCAGTGAGGCAACACAAAAGGTTCTTCCAGGCATCTTTACTTCTAAGAGTGTGTGCTATATCCTATAACTGTTCAATCGCTGCAGGAAAAATGAACCCTATCACTGGGCAAGATGTCAACAAAACCTGTCAGTGTAAACAGCCACCATATGCTCATCTACAGTGTATATTACATCTACTCTGTCCTAATTGTCATGTAACCGATATAAACAGCGAGGTCCCCAACCGGCTGTCACCATCTCTGCGCGAGAGGTTAATTGTGTTTAAGCCCAACGCTCAATGGGACTAAAATTGTGGTCCTTACCGAATTTAACCTAATTATAAACATGAATGACACATCAGCAGCTATGTTGGATCCATATCGCACCTGATGCCCCCCATTAATAAGGTTACAGCGGGAGCAGCTGTGAAGGGCACGCGGGGAGACCACTTGTAATCAATGATAAGAGAAGACAATATAAAGGGGATCCTAAAATTCAAGGGTTACATTTGCAAGGGATGATTTCTTCTGTTTACAAATAGCCAATAGCCTCATTTGGTGTGTTGTCTAGATGGGATAGGCTTGAAGACGAGCAATCAAATATTGTATTTAAACGACATAGTCTGCATAGGCTAAAACATTTGATATGATCTCAATCCTTGCTTTGTCTTGCTTCTCTCGTTGAGTTAGGCTAGAATACATGCAGCCTAGAATAATAATATGATAATGCAAATGTTAAACAAATTAAAGTTCCCTATGAATATTGTCATCTAAATTGTTATAATTTGGCATCTGATCTCATATAGACCTATGTTTGATGAATTGTTTTAAATATCATGCTGCAAAATGCATTAAAAGAACGTGTCTTTAGGCTATGTTCATAAATTAGGCGTTTCCCAAAAATAAGACACAAAAATGGTAGATATGATCCTCTCCTCAAATGTTCTATCAGAGCTTCTCCATGAATTCTGAAGTCCACGACGTCACATCTCAATGGATAATGAGAGAATGAGATTTTTCAGCTACTCCATGCATGGACCTATATCATAACAACAACAATAATGGCAATTAACAATTCTCTAATGTGGAAAATACAAATAGGCTACATACCTCCTTAGGTAGGAGTTCAATTTTGTCCGCTTTATCCCTCGAACATGCCACTGCTGGAAGAGTAGCCACGATGCTGGTTCAAGCAAGCCACTTGTGCTTGTGAGTATGCGCGTCTTGGGTTCTTCAATAAGGAATAGCGTTATATGGGGAGGAACTGGACACTATTTCTATCCCTATAGAAATGTCAATGGACTCGAATCATCCAAATGTTTCGTTCAGTGATGAGATCTCCAATTCAAAATTCGTCGTTCTGTCCAGGTTAAAATAAGGTTAAATAAATTAAAAATAAGGATCCGTCTGATCCTATAGCAGTTCTATGTCGCTAGGTAGTGCATGTCCTGCGCTCGGGTGAGTCGGGTCTTCTCTAAGTAAAGTCAATGGGGTGTGTTTATAGTGAGAAAGGGGGAGGACCGTCCTCGTTTCGAGGAAGCTGAGTGGGAGGGGTATGCAAAATAGCCAAGTGTTGCGGTGGGAACCGAGCAGCAGCAGAGGCAGAGGCGATGGGATGAGAACGCAAGACCTGGAGGTCGGGGCCCTCTGCTGATCAGATGGGAAGGGGGAGGTAATAAAACAGTAAAATCGTGTGAAAGCCAGGGAGAGAGCCCAACTGCCGACTCACATCCAAGAGCGTGAATATTTACTCACCTGCAGAACTGTCCTTTATTACAAACGGATGTTTAACAGACAAATTGGATCATGATCCATCAGTAGGCCTATACTAGCCCTTCTCATGACTCCAAGGCTAAGCATTGGCTCATTCCATGTCCAACGCTGAACCGAAGCTCTTTCTAAACCTTGATATGACTGATATGAGATACGTTTTTAGAAACATTTGGAACTTAACTTTCATATCAGCAATAAATAATTTTCAAAAAACAAAATGTGTTGTAACTGAAAAACACTGTCGATGGCTGTTAAAGCCGGTTATATTTTGCATTTGTGAAATTATTTTGATGTGATATGAAAGTAGAGGGCTTTATGTTTCTAGAACTGTACCACAATTGAGAATCGATTCACGTTTAGATGGAGTATTTGGCTGTTTTGGCTTCCAGAGCGAGTTTGTCTCTGAACATAACATGTAAGGTCCTGGGACGTTAAGGGTCGGCTCACCTACACTCCTTAACAGTACATTCTTGGGATAGGCCTATACACTCTGTAATGTAGGCTTTTATGTGTTCATATTTTTTGCATCACATACTACTGGATAATGCACCAGATATTATTTACATGAGGCTACATTTGAGTTCCAGGAAGTCCATTTCCATAAATTTTTTATAACTTCCTCATGGAGTATTGATGCATTTCATCATCAACATTTTGCATGCAGGGTCTAGTGGTTTACTGTCATAAATTCCTAATAGCCACTCTAGCACAGGTGTGATCTCGGTTAACCCAGATTTTAAGTATTGTGTAATTGGTCAGCTGCTCTATTAACACACAGAATATGTCCATGAAATATTAGTACAGGTGTGTGATTGCACGTTGACCTGCACTTTTCATATGTGGAACTTTGGTTGGGTCTTTTGCCCATAGCAGCAAATATAAAATAATGGCAAGAATTCCATACAGGTAGATGTAATTACCGTAGGCACATATCAAAGGTGTAAACGGTGAGGACGATAAGAATAACGTTTCTTTCATATAGGCCTCTCTTTGACTGAACGCACTCCATACCTGTACATTGCTGAAGGAATTAGTTTGGGGGTGTCCCGTGAAAATCTCACTTTTAAAAGCTTATAATCTGTTAACTCCCAAATCATGTTGTTGACTCGTCCTATATTTGTATTTGTGGCCAAAGCATAAATTTGAGAAGAAACACTTCAAAACCCACCTCAAGCTTGTATCTGAAAACAGATGTTACAAAAATGCTTGCTATTTCCTCATAAAGAATTACTTCATGTTTTTGGTCGAGACGTCTCATTGGCTCATTGGCTGAGCTGGCCAATCAGCTGTTTTCTTGTCATTAATCTTTTTTATGGACCAGTATACACCCACCCATTCTGTTGTTGGGGTGTGCCCACACCATTCAAACACAGAAAAGCTGCTTTTTAACATACTTAATGAATTATTAATAAAATAAATTCGGGAAGGGAAACCATTTCACTCATATTGTAATTAGTTATAGATCATATTTCATAGAAATCTGGAAACACTGGACAGCTACTTTAAGTGGAATATACATTTTGTATGCCTGGGCGTTTATAGCATAAATGAGTTCATATTTGTGAAATTGTAAAGACACCACAGAACGATATGATTTAGATGTGTATGTACTGTGCATTATTTGGCATGCAACATTGGCAATATTTAAAAAGCTTAACTGTAGAAAGACATTGTCTGATCAAATTCTCCCAAATCACTAATCAAGTTAAAAATTGTGAAATGTGGAGATATCGATGCTGAATGAAAAACTTAATGAGACGGAAACAACTTTGAAACTTCATCATCGCCAATGTTTTTGTGAATCATATATTTCTATGACAACAGCGCCACCTGCTGGACAAAATCCATGCTTGGGGGTTGATTCTACAAAGTTCAAAGAGCTTTACGGCTAAAAATCGAGCATTCGTTTGGTTAGGCAGTCGGTAATGTGTGACCATAAGAACTGTCTAGATTACCTTTCAACCTGCTTCTTATGTATTTTGTCCATTAGCTTTTTTTTTTTGTTCCCTAATTTATTTCTGTGGCAATAAGTATTTGGTCCATCTGGTGAAAATGAGAGCAATGATGTAAATAAACATAGCTAATCATGGTGTGGTGTGTTTCAGCAGATATTCTCGACATTCATAGCTATTAAGTATTTACAGTAAATAGCCTCGGTATCTGACTGAGGACATTTTTTACTCTGAAATAACCAGAATAAATTGTTTTATGCATATATGAATTCAACAAACAATTACAAATGCATTCAAGAATATATCACATGATATATTGTTCTATGGTTTAGGCTCAATAAAAAAAAAGAGATATGAGATGTTGTAATTTGCTAGATTTCCGCATTGATTCAAGCCCCGCCCTCTCCAGTTTTTTTTTACCAAAACACCCCCACTGTCTCGCCAGTTGTCAGCCGACCGGTAGTTAGCGACACAGTAGCACATCATGATCGAGACGCTGAAGTTTGCAACATTATTTCTGGCTGTTGTTGTTTGCCGGGCAACGCAAGATTATGGTTATAAAGAGGGCGAGGAGCCTACTCTGGGTGATTCTCAGTATGGATCTCTCTGGCCGTTGCCTCAGAAAGTCAAAATGTCCACGGTAGCGTTCAAACTCAGCGGTGCTAGTTTCCAGATAGTTGACGCTAAAGAATCGTCTTCTGGTGCGAGCTGCAGGCTTCTTCAAAATGCATATCGAAGGTAATATGTCATGTGATTGTGAATGAATAGCTGCCTACATATTTTCAAAGACAGGGCTACATCAGCATTCTGTAATTTAAATGTTTGTTTAGCGTTGGCTCTGTTAGATTTTAAATCATTCACGTTTTAGTCATGTTTTATTTGAATAGTAGGCCTACAATTTATAAGTCAAAACGTTTTTCAGAAGTAGGCTATGTGATGAATATAGCTATAACTGTTGAATGTGTTTTATGCATAGAAATTCCCTAGAAATCCGCGCTGTTTTTTCACATACAGTCACAAGACCCGGTTTGTTCCTCCTTCCTTGTTCTGCAGGTATGACGAATACATATTCCCCATTTCCAGAATGCAAGGGCAAAACAAAAAGAAGGCGTTTGCCTCTGATGTGTCTGAGTTACAGGTGTGGATCACATCAGCTGACTCGGAGTGTGACAGCTACCCCAGTGTGACATCTGACGAGTCATGTGAGTGCCCTGGCCTGATGTTTCTCTTCCTTGTTTTTTGTCTTCCTTGTTGGTGCTCAAAGCCAGGTCCCGTATTCACAAAGCATCTCGGAGTATGCTAATATAGGATCAGATTTCCCTTTTAGATCATAATGAATAAGATTATATGTACAGGGAGACCTCCTAGATCAGCGCTTCTTCTCTGAATTCAGACCTAGGTTTGCAAGGTTGGGACTCTAGCAGGGTAAATACAAATAGCAGAGTCTTCACAAGTATAGTTGAGGGGCCTTCCCAGTGGGATTGAGGCCTGGGTCTCGTCATACCACATCAGTGTTTAGGAAGGTATTATCCCCCAGTAAGTCTTACGTCTGCCAGTATAGCTTATGTCAGTAGTAGACAGAGAGCGAAAGATGACCTGGAATGTCTTGGAAGATAATAGGTTTATTCTACAGTCAATAGGCATAAGACCACCTGATCTTTGTTGTAAAGACAATTAGCTACTGTTTCATTAATGCACACCAGTAGTACACATGCACGTTTGGTCTTAGCTGTGTTTCAAGGCCCCAAACTAATAAAGAAAAACTAACATGCATTTACTTAGTCATCAAAGAAGAAACATCCACTTACCTAGATGGGTAAGTGACAAATGCATGCATTTTAAATCAGTAGGCATTATCGGATGTTTAAAACGACAACAAAGGACTGTCTTCTTTCTGCTGCTTGTCCACAGACGAACTCTCGGTGGACTCTCCTGTTGCTGTACTGAAAGCACCTAAGGTGTGGGGTGCTCTGAGAGGTAGGGGTCATGGCTTTTAGTCTACACACACATACACACCATTTTTTGCTATGTTTATATTCGTGAAATAACTTTGGTCACGCCTGTGAGGCCTTCCTTTATTTACATGTTGTTATAACATTTCACTTGTTTTCATAACCCTTGTGCAACTTCTGTGGATGCGTTGCATAGCATCTTGTGTCTTGACCTCGAAAGCTACAGGCAATATTGTAATTCATAACCATACTTGATCTTTGAGACTTACAGTATACTTTTTATAGTACCTTTGTACTGAGAGGAAAGCTTGCAAATAAGCATTTCATTGTACTGTTTACAACACTACACTGTATCCTGTGCAGATGACAATAAACTTTGATTTGAGACTTTATATACATATCCAGGAGGTTTACAGTGTGTTGTAAAGCATGTGTTTACAATCCTGTTGTGGTTGTTGTGTGACTCTGTTGATTAATCATTATCTATGTGTCTCAATTTTTATTAACAGGTCTGGAGACTTTTAGCCAGTTGGTGTATGATGATGAATATGGAGCAGTAAGTTGACATGAGTGTCGTGAGAATAGAGTTTGTTAAAAAAGGAGGCCTCACCCATGTCTGAACCCAAGTCATGTGATTGAGGAAGTAACCTACCTTAGCTGTTTACTGTAGCTCTATTTTAAGTCATTCTAATCCATCAACACATTTGGCAATTCAGTTCCCAGCAACTTAGCAAGTTATTTTCAATTCCACATTGTGGTTTTTGCCTCAGTGACTCAGTATTCATCATATGTACATGGATTAAATTGTAGCAATATTTCAATGATACTTCTATATAATTGACTTCTATATAATTTTCAATTTCTTTGTTTTATTTTCACAGAAAAGCATCAATAGGACAGAGATCCAGGACTTTCCACGGTTTGCACATCGAGGCCTCTTATTGGACACCTCTCGTCACTTCCTGCCCATCAAAGTCATCTTAGCCAACCTGGTGAGAGAGGACGATACATGCGATTCTGATTTCAGTTCACTTTGTTGTTGTTATGGTTAAATGTTTGCTTTGGCCATATGATCAAATAATTGTATCTTAATGGCATAACATTACATAACATAATGTCATCATAACCTCATGTTCTCCCCTTACCCACACACAGGAAGCCATGGCGTGGAACAAATTCAATGTGTTCCACTGGCACATAGTAGATGACCACTCCTTCCCCTACATGAGCCAGACTTTCCCCCAGCTGAGCCAGCAGGTGAGTGGGTAGGCAGGCGTTGTTATCGATAGCCTGGTCCCATTTCAGCTTCTAAACCTACAGCTTTCACACACCTGAAAAGACTAGATGGGCGAAGGTGAAATGGCAAAAATGATATGCTGAAAAGGATATGGTGGGAGCTTCACAAAGCCTTGTGGTCTTGGTGGATCTACAGTGGGGGGGAAAAAGTATTTAGTCAGCCACCAATTGTGCAAGTTCTCCCACTTAAAAAGATGAGAGAGTCCTGTAATTTTCATCATAGGTACACGTCAACTATGACAGACAAATTGAGAGAAAAAAATCCAGAAAGTCACATTGTAGGATTTTTTGTGAATTTATTTGCAAATTATGGTGGAAAATAAGTATTTGGTCACCTACAAACAAGCAAGATTTCTGGCTCTCACAGACCTGTGACTTCTTCTTTAAGAGGCTCCTCTGTCCTCCACTCGTTACCTGTATAAATGGCACCTGTTTGAACTTGTTATCAGTATAAAAGACACCTGTCCACAACCTCAAACAGTCACACTCCAAACTCCACTATGGCCAAGACCAAATAGCTGTCAAATGACACCAGAAAGAAAATTGTAGACCTGCACCAGGCTGGGAAGACTGAATCTGCAATAGGTAAGCAGCTTGGTTTGAAGAAATCAACTGTGGGAGCAATTATTAGGAAATGGAAGACATACAAGACCACTGATAATCTCCCTCGATCTGGGGCTCCACGCAAGATCTCACCCCGTGGGGTCAAAATGATCACAAGAACGGTGAGCAAAAATCCCAGAACCACACGGGGGGACCTAGAGAATGACCTGCAGAGAGCTGGGACCAAAGTAACAAAGCCTACCATCAGTAACACACTACGCCGCCAGGGACTCAAATCCTGCAGTGCCAGACGTGTCCCCCTGCTTAAGCCAGTACATGTCCAGGCCCGTCTGAAGTTTGCTAGAGTGCATTTGGATGATCCAGAAGAGGATTGGGAGAATGTCATATGGTCAGATGAAACCAAAATAGAACTTTTTGGTAAAAACTCAACTCGTCGTGTTTGGAGGACAAAGAATGCTGAGTTGCATCCACAGAACACCATACCTACTGTGAAGCATGGGGGTGGAAACATCATGCTTTGGGGCTGTTTTTCTGCAAAGGGACTAGGACGACTGATCCGTGTAAAGGAAATAATGAATGGGGCCATGTATCGTGAGATTTTGAGTGAAAACCTCCTTCCATCAGCAAGGGCATTGAAGATTAAATGTGGCTGGGTCTTTCAGCATGACAATGATCCCAAACACACCGCCTGGGCAATGAAGGAGTGGCTTCGTAAGAAGCATTTCAACGTCCTGGAGTGGCCTAGCCAGTCTCCAGATCTCAACCCCATAGAAAATATTTGGAGGGAGTTGAAAGTCCGTGTTGCCCAGCGACAGCCCCCAAACATCACTGCTCTAGAGGAGATCTGCATGGAGGAATGGGCCAAAATACCAGCAACAGTGTGTGAAAACCTTGTGAAGACTTACAGAATACGTTTGACCTGTGTCATTGCCAACAAAGGGTATATAACAAAGTATTGAGAAACTTTAGTTATTGACCAAATACTTATTTTCCACCATAATTTGCAAATAAATCCATAAAAAATCCTACAATGTGATTTTCTTGAAAAAACATTTTTTTTACCTATGATGAAAATTACAGGCCTCTCTCATCTTTTTAAGTGTGAGAACTTGCACAATTGGTGGCTGACTAAATACTTTTTTCCCCCACTGTATAACCATATTGTTTACACCAAATCAGTCATTTCAAAGTTGTAAACGTGTAAGGGCTAGTGTAAAGGTTTAAACTACTCAATGCATATCCATATGTATATAATGATTCCCTTTGTGTATGACAACTTTTGTTTGATGTTTTTCTGCAGGGAGCATACCACCCGTACACGCATGTGTACACGGCCGTTGACGTGAAGATGATCATCGAGTTTGCTCGGCTCAGGGGCATTCGTGTCGTCTCTGAGTTTGACACCCCTGGACACACTCAATCATGGGGCAAAGGTGAGTGTGGGGTCACTTAGGGGTCATTCAGATGAGAATTTTCTGGCTGTATCAAGGGGTTCATTTCTAGGGGGTCAGGGTAGTCTTTTGTCCTTTTAGACATGCACTTTTTGAAATATTTTTGTAAGAATATAAGTGAAATATGCAGCTACCTGATATTGCATTGGTTTTATCTACACCTCTCTCATGCACCCTTCATCTCTCATGCACCCTTCATCTCTCATGCACCCCTCCTCTCTCCTGCCCCCGTTCCAGGCCAGAAGGACCTGCTAACCCCCTGTTACTCTGGAGCCAGCCCCTCTGGCTCGTTCGGACCAGTCAACCCTATCCTCAACACCACCTATGACTTCATGACCATGTTCTTCAAGGAGGTCAGCACAGTGTTCCCTGATGCCTACATCCATCTAGGAGGAGATGAGGTTGACTTCAGTTGCTGGTGAGAGGCTTATAGGGACATTTACATTTGTAATTTAGCAGACACTCTTATCCAGGGTGACTGGCAATCAGTGCATATAAATACATTTTTAGTAGAGAGAAACAACCACATATAAGTCATTGCTATTAGACCCTAGCAGATATTTCTTTCCAAAGTGACTTACTCAAAGTCTAAATTTTCAGCACCAACTGACCCACAGACTCCTTATCCACTACAGAGTTACATGACCACAATTTAACAGCCATGTGACACTGGCTTGTTTGACAGTCAATGGAAATTAAATGAAATCAATGAAAACAGTACTGTAGGCTGTATCTCCGAACATCAAGCACATCAATAAAAACACTTTCTGCCTCTGTCATCCACAGGAAGTCCAACCCTGACATCCAGAAGTTCATGAAGCAGCAAGGCTTTGGGACTGACTACAGCAAGCTGGAGTCATTTTACATCCAGAGGTGAGTGGCTTCATTCAGACATGGCCTTAAAGTGAAACAAATGATAAGTCATTCGGCCAACCTAAAAAAAACACAGTAACTTACCCATATATTCAAAAAAAAATCCCACTTCATTTTCCGAAGATGAATTATTCATATTATCATGTGGTTATTTTCTGTCACGTGATAGGCTCTTGGATATCGTCACCACTACCAACAAGGGCTACATGATCTGGCAGGAGGTGTTTGACAATGGAGTTAAGGTAAAATAGCAGTTATTAGCACAGGCAGAGAGAAAAGCAGCCACTGATATTTAGAAATCAAAGTCAGATTCTGATATTTCTATAATCAAAATATCTTTAGTTACCTTATTCACTTCTTACCTGGTATTTACATAGTAGTGCATGTGGCTTCAAGGCTTGGCTTCTATAGTTTTTTCCCTGTTAGTATTAGCTTTTCCTTTCTTACTCTATCTCCTAACCACCACCAGAACTGGGTTTCAAATACTGAAAATATTAATTTATCTGCTTGTTTGAGCTTGCCTGGCTTAATAAACCAATAGAAAAGTCCCAGAACTGCAAATCCCACCCATCTGGCACTCCAAGCAGACTCAAGCAAAGCGCTCAAAGTATTAGAATAACTTTTTTTAAAACATATTTCAAACCCACGTCTGACCACCACATCCCCAAATAATAAACATGTTTTCTGAGTCTAACAAATCAGTGTAATACTTGCAGCTGAAATCAGACACGGTAGTGCATGTGTGGATGGGGAACAAGGTGGAGGAGGAGCTTCAGAAGGTGACGGAGGCGGGCTTCACCACCATCCTCTCCGCCCCCTGGTACTTAGATTACATTAGCTACGGACAGGACTGGCAGAAGTACTACAGGGTCGAGCCGCTCAGCTTCAACGGTCAGTTATCTTCATCAGACACCTCCCTTTTGTTGGACCCCTGTGATATTAGCCAAGGTTATGGCGTCGGCTAATGGGGGATCCTAAAAAAAACATATAATCTTCATCAGATAGGTTCTAGGAGAGCTGGAATAGCTCTGTTTTGGCTTAACATGCCGAGGTTGAAAATGCTAAAATTGTCCTTTCAAAATGGAATGACTTCATTCAACAGGTTTGCACTTGAATATTGCACCGCTGTATCATATTGAGTAATCTGCTCTCTGGACCAAAGTCGTCGTGTACAGAGACATGGTGGGTTTTTTTTTTAGACCAGCACGGTAACCCCGACCAACTACTTTTTTGTATGTAGCTTTGGTTCATGCTAGTCCTTTTCTGGTAGAGATGGAGATTGTTATTGTTGGTTAAACCAGTCAGGGCTGTACATTGCCTTTGCTTGGTGTTCATTTAGATTGAGGCCTATGTCTGTCTCGTTTGTGGTTAGTACTGTAACATTGAACTTCTTGATTTGATTATCGTTGCTTGCTGCAGCGCGTTAGGCCTACTTTCCAGATACTAGCCCTGACAACTCCTGCATGATTCATGGCTTCACAGCGCTTTTCTTATGTCGGGGTACATTCAAGATCAGCAACACTGTAACATGTTGAACATTGTAAGCAAGAAGTTGACATGAAACCTTACAAATGCAGCCAACTTTAGAGCTTTACTCCATTTGTTTTGTGATGCCCCACCATGAAGAGAGAACCACCCCACCAGAAGCATCTTGCAAGAGGACAGCTGCAATTTGTCACTTCTCTACAACGTTGTTTTGCGTCTTGAATGTACCCAGAGGCACGCTTATCCATGGAGGGCTCTCTTCATTTCCCCCCTAAAAAAATACTACTCTGCACTAAGTACTAAGTAGTACTAATACTACACCTAAATACTCATGGAGGGCTCTCTTAATTTCCCCCCTAAAAAAATACTACTCTGCACTAAGTACTAAGTAGTACTAATACTACACCTAAATACTAAGGATACTCCCCAATCACATTGCATGTGTATCTACAGTATGTGATGTGTGTCTACTGTATGTAGCTGAAAGCAGACACGCTAATCCACGTGTGGAAAGGCAACCAGCAGCAGTACCAGGCTGAGATGGCAAAGGTCACAGCATCAGGCTACCAGACCCTGCTCTCCACACCCTGGTACCTGAACCGCATCTCCTACGGCCAAGACTGGCAGGCCGCTTACAAGGCCGACCCACAGGACTTCAATGGTGTGTGTGTGTGTGTGTGTCTCTGGACACTTTAGACAGATGCTTTATTTCTGAAAAAATACTACTCCTCGGCTCTTGTCTTTGCTGTGTGGTTGCAACTCGCGCATCCTCAAAATGTCCAACTTATTTGGTGGTTGTTGAATTTCATGTTTTTAGTTTGATATTTTATATTGACTGGCCGCAACGCTTATCGCGATACCTCACTGTATATTTACATTAGGGCAGCGAGGACCAATATATTGACTTTCTTTTATTATTTGTGATAAAGGAAGACTTTGCCCTGACCATGCTGTTCTAAATTGATAGCTGACTCGTATGACACAGGTCTAAGGTCCAACCCACCTGCTCTGAGCCTGAACAGGAAAACGCCATCCGCTTCTTGTCTTATGATCCAATGGTCATGCGGTTTTTATTTCTGTGCAACCCTGTTGACTGAAGTAGCAGAATGAATATACCACAGAATAACTCCATTCCCATAATTTAAAGATTAAATGCAGAAATTAGCATAGACATTTTCCCATATGTGATTGCCTCCTGACCCCTGAATTACCTTTTGACCTTGTGAACCCAGGCACAGATGCCCAGAAGAAGCTGGTGATCGGGGGAGAGGCCTGTCTGTGGGGGGAATACGTGGACGCTACCAACCTGACCCCCAGACTCTGGTAGGCTGCAGACCAAACCAATTTAAAATCTATTAGAAGATACCTTTCCTCTCCATCCATCTTAAACTGCACTGTCTGTAATGTGAAGGTGTTTCTCTCCTATCCCCAGGCCCCGTGCCAGTGCTGTGGGGGAGCGGTTATGGAGTGACAAGGATGTGAAAGACACGAACGATGCCTACAGTCGTCTGGCCCAGCACCGCTGTCGCATGGTCCAGTAAGTCGCCCCCATAGAGAAACGTACTGTATATTACTGTTCTATTGAATTCTGTGGTGCCGCCCCTCGCCCCCATAGAGAAACATACTGTATATTACTGTTCTATTTAATTATGTGGTGATTCCCCTTGCCCACATAGAGAAACTTACTGTTCTATTTAATTCTGTGGTGATTCCCCTTGCCCACATAGAGAAACTTACTGTTCTATTTAATTCTGTGGTGCCGCCCCCCAATTATAGGAAGTGATGCAAAAAATAAATAAGTATACAATGTGGTAACACCCTCTGTCTTTCTTCCTGTCTTTTCTCTCCCCCTTCTATCTCTGCCTGTCTTCTCTCGCTCTACTAGGCGTGGTATACCAGCTGAGCCTCTGTTTACAGGTTACTGTGCACAAGAGTACAAAGGGGTATGAGCTGACAGCCACGGTGTGGGGCTACAACGTGAGAAGCAGCAATAGGAAAATCGCACAATCATATCCTGGCTTAGGGTTTAACACAGAAACCAAACTTGAGATTGTCTTCATTACTTAATTGATGCACTGATTGAGCCAAATTCTGCCTTTTTTAATTATGTTTTTCAGAACAATCCTCATTCCATGCAATGTCACAAATTGATTGTGTGTAGGAACACCATCTCTTTTTATATGAATGTTTGTATGAATTAAATAATAAACTTTTGCAAGGTGAATTGTGTGTATGGACACCCGAAGTGCGATACAGTTTATCGACTCATGGAAATTACACATTGGGACACATTTCATCACAAGATCATCTTTTATACAACTGATATACATTTTACTGACCGATACCGACACTTCTACAATATAATTCCAACAGAAGTACTGCATGCCCACATGCATGTTCTTGACCTGATTTTCATGTTTGCACAGCAAACACCCTCACGGAGTATTTACAGTGCCTTCAGAAAGTATTCACACCCATAGACTTTTTCCACATTGTTGTATTACAGCCTGCATTTAAAATGGGTTAAATTGAGATGTCACTGGCCTACAAACAATACCCCATAATGTCAAAGTAGAATTATGTTTTTTGAAATTAATAAATAATGAAAACCTGAAAAGTCTTCATTAAGTGTTCAACCCCATTTGTTATGGCAAGCCTAAAGTTCAGGAGCAAAGATTTGCTTAAGTCACATAAGTTGTTTGGACTCGCTGTGTAATAATAGTGTTTAACATAGTCGAGCAGTGAATTTCAAACAGATTTAACCACAAAGACCAGGGAGGTTTTCCAATGCCTTGCAAAGTAGATGGGACATTTTTCTTAAAAGCAGACATTAAATATCCCTTTGAGCATGGTGAAGTTATTAATTACACCTTGGATGGTGTACCAATACACCCAGTCACTACAAAGATGCAGGCATCCTTCCTAACTCAGTTGCTGGAGAAGGAAACCGCTCAGGAATTTCAAATGGTGACTTTAAAACAGAGTTGAATGGCTATGGTGGGAGAAAACAGGATGGATCAACAACATTGTAGTTACTCCACAATACTAACCTAATTGACCGAGTGAAAAGAAGGAAACATTTGCAACAAGGCACTAAAGCATGGTTTCCCAAACTCTGTCCTGGGCCCCCCCCCCCCTGGACCGAGTTTAAGAAACCCTGCACTAAAGTAATACTGCAAAAAATATGGCAAAGCAACTGACTTTTGTCCTGAATACAGTGTTATGTTTGGGGCAGATCCAATACAACACATACTGAGTACTACTGTCAATTTTTTTCAAGCATAGAGGAAAAGCTGGTTCAGTCTGCTTTCCACCAGACACTGGGAGATGAATTGACCTTTCAGCAGGACAATAACCTAAAAAACACAAGGCCAAATCTACACTGGAGTTGCTTACCAAGAAGACAGTGAATGTACCTGGCCAAATTACAGTTTTGACTTAAATCTACTTGAAAATCTATTGCAAGACCTGAAAATGGTTGTCTAGCAATGATCAACAATCAATATGACAGAGCTTGAAGAATTTTGAAAAGAATAATGGGCAAATGTTGCACAATCCAGGTGTGGAAAGCTCTTAGAGACTTACCCAGAAAGACTCACAGCTGTAATCGCTGCCAAAGGTGCTTCTACAAAGTTTCGACTCAGGAGTGTGAATTCTTATGTAAATTAGATATTTCTGTATTTAATTTTCAATAAATTAGCTAAAATAAAAATAAAAACATGTTTTCACTTTGTCATTATGGGGTATTGTATGTAGATGGGTGAGAAAAACATTGATTTAATCCATTTTGAATTCAGGCTGTAACACAACAAAATGTGGAATAAGTCAAGGGGTATGAATACTTTCTGAAGGCACTGTACATGGACATTCATGCTGGCTTACATTTCCCAAAATTCCTGCTTGATGTCATCAGGCGAGGCCAGCCATCTTGTTGAGCAGGGCATTCTGGTGTTGGGGGTTCATGGCCTCATAGATGTCCAACTGGAGGGAGAAGGTGGCGTTGCCAGAGGTCAGAGTTCGCAGGGCGGTGGAGTAGCCCTGAAACAGGAGGGAAGATTAGATCCATTACAACCTGGTAAAGGCGGGATACTGCAGTGTCCCTTTTTGTCTCTGATACCGATGATGCATCATTCGTTAGCAGCGGACTTGATTTGCTAGCAACAAGACAATGAGAGATGAGCAAAACAGAAACAGCGAAACAAACAGAAAATTGCACACTTTATAGTGTATTGGTGTGAGTATAACATGGTGTTGTCTGCCCTGTCACTACATGAGGTTTCCACAGCGACATTGAACCAACCTACCATCATCTCAGCCAGGGGTGCAGTGGCCAGCAGCACCTTGTTGTCATGGCGACTCTGGATGGCCCGGATGGCCCCTCGTCTCTGAGCCAGGTCACCCAGCACAGAGCTCAGGTGCTCCTCCCCCACCGTCACCTCCAGTGACATCACAGGCTCCAGCACCTGCCCCCCCGCCTGCCTCAGAGCCTACAGGGGACAGAGACAACACTGTTACTACTGTAGTATTAGTAATAGGGTCACTGTTACGAGCGTAGTATTACTATCAAATCAGATTGTATTTGTCACATGCGCCGAATACAACAGGAATACAACCTTACCGTGAAACACTTACTTACAAGCCCTTAACCAACAATGCAGTTTTAAGAAAAATAAGAGTTAAGAAAATATTTACTAAATAAATAAAAGTAAAAAATAAAAGAGTAACAGTAAAACAACAATAACGAGGTTATATACAGTACAGGTTACAGGGTACCGGTATGGAGTCAATGTGTGGCGGTACAGGTTAGTCGAGGTAATACAGTACCAGTCAAAAGTTTGGACACACCTACTCATTCATTTCTACATTGTAGAATAATAGTGAAGACATCAAAACGATGAAATAACACATATGGAATAATTTAGTAACCAAAAAAGTGTTAAACAAATCAAAATATATTTTATATTTGAGATTCTTCACATAGCCATCCTTTGCCTTGATGACAGCTTTGACAACTAAGCCCAAACCAGATGGGATGGCGTATCGCTGCAGAATGCTGTGGTAGTTTTGATGTCTTCACTATTATTCTAGAATGTAGAAAATAGTAAAAATAAAGAAAAACCCTGGAATGAGTAGGTGTGTCCAAACTTTTGACTGGTACTGTACATGTAGGTAGGGGTAAAGTGACTATGCATAGACAATAAACAGCGAGTAGCAGCAGCGTAAACAAACCCACTAATGTATTGCTAATGCCTTTCTGCTTCTATCGACACTCAGAGCCATCACAAGACTACAGTACATAGGCAGAGATCATCTCACATTGTGTACACAACACTATCATAGGAGTTCCTGGGCAGGTGTTGATGTACCTTGAGCATACAGCGGGACACGCAGGCAGACAACATAGCTAGAGACGTCCCCGGCTCCATGCTCACACTCTGGATCATAGTGGACACGCCCTGGACCGGGTAACCAAGCAACGGACCTGGGAGAGTGAGCACATAATGTACTTATTGAGTCTCAGAATAGGGGCTACAACAGTACAAGGCTCGTCGGAAATGGGGGTCTTCTTCCATAATTTGGTCGAGTTCCTTCTTACATAATCTGGTCGGTGTGATGTCGTTACCTTGGAGATAAGAGCTGTTTACTCCGTTCTCCACGGCCTCCCTGACGTCAGAGGACAGCTGCTCCTCCACTTCCTCGTCGTAGGTGATGTCACAGGAAGTGAGTGAGGAGGAGGAGTCCGTGATGGGGCAGACCGCCACGCCCACCGTCACTACGTGTCTCCTCTCCCCAACCGTACGGTCCAGCGTGTCTAAAACACAAACAAGCAGGAAGCACAATCAAACACAAACAAGGTGAGTCCAAAAATGTATTGTATGCTGCTGCATAAATGATGTAATATGCCAGGGAGATATGTAAACTGTAGCTAAGAAAGTCATAATAAGTGTATGTTGTGTAGTCCCGTGTAGCTCAGTTGGTAGAGCATGGCGCTTGCAACGCCAGGGTTGTGGGTTCATTTCCCATGGGGGACCAGTATGAAAAAAATGTATGCACTCACTAACTGTAAGTCGCTCCGGATAAGAGCGTCTGCTAAATGACTAAAATGTTGTTGTTTTTTATGTTAACAATCAGGAATCAGAATAAGAAGAATCAGTAAGATCTACACAGATTGGAAAATACGGTTTCCTCCTCCGTACTGATTGGCATCCTATACCTGTGGTAGCCACTGATTGGAGGATGGTCTCCCTGTAAGCCACCTGTAGAGGTCCCAGGTGGGTCTCGATGCCGTACTCTCTCCTGATCCGATCATGGAGGATCTCAATGTGCAGCTCTCCCATCCCACACAGAATGGTCTGATGGAGGAGATGGTACAAAGACCATTAAAACAGACATGGCATATTTTATTAGTATAATATTATATGCTAGCTAGCTAGCAAACATTCATTCAATCAATCAATCAACCCTTTCAACCAACCAATCATACATGTTCCTCCTGTACAGACGTTATTACCTGTCCAGAGTCTGAATCTACCCTGACCTTCAGGCTAGGGTCTTCTCTCTGGAGGCAGGTCAGGGCGTTCTCCAGATCTAATAGAAAACAGAGGTTGTTATAACAGTGTTACAAGAGTTTTAGGCCAGGTGGCTCAAGCAAGCCTGTAGAGCAGTGCATGGTATGAGGGGATTTGAGCAGGGATCCCATGCTTAGTAATGGCTGCAGGGACACTGACCTGCCTGTTTAGCCATAGTGGGGGGTTCTATGGAGCAGAAGAAGACAGGCTCGGGGACCTCCACTCCAGCCAGCACCAGACTGGCCTGCTCTCCACCCCTCTTCCCCTCCCCCTCCTTCTCCTTCTGGGCCCGCCGGACCGCGGCCGCTGCCGAGGCCTTGGAGGACACAATAGTGTCCCCTGTCACTGTCTGAGAGAGAGAGGACATTTTTGTAAACATGTTACAATAATGAAAGATTGTTTGGATGTGAAAGTGCTTGGTTTAATTGTCAAAGTCACCCAACAGATTCAAAACAATTCAGTTTCAAAAACATATTGTTCTTTACTGAGAATGGATGTGTTTTCAATTCCAAAACAGGTATTCTCTCATAAAGTCCTACCTGCTTGAGGCCCACACAGAGTGCAATGTTTCCTGCAGTCAGGGAAGGTATCTCCACATGCTGGTCAGCAAACGGCAGCAGCAGCCGACTCATCCTCTCTCTACAGTGGAGACCAGTGGAATTCAAAATGACAAGCACAGTAATGAGAAAACTAACAGTACTTGAGTTTATTGGCACAGCCTGAGAATTTGTATGATGCACCATTTTAGAGGGCTCCTACCGAGTTATGCCCAATGCAACAAAACCTTAAGAGATACAGAGTTAATTAACTGATTACCATGAATTGATTACCATTCAGCATGCTGCGGTAGCAGTAAGCAGGTATTGGGTAGTAGTGGGATGCTGATGGACCTACGTACGTGGTGTTCCTGTTTATGTTGAGGACAGCAGACTGGGGCTTCATGGTCCCAGAGTAGATCCTCACAAACACCAGAGGACCTCGCTGCTTGTCATGCAGCACCTTAAAGGCCAGGGCACACAGGTCATCCTGGTACCAACGCCTGTGTGAAGGAAATAGACCAAAACAAAACTGGGTCTGATTCAAGAATAAATCCCTGACTGATATATGTGGTAGAGGCTTTAGCCCAATGATATGGATCAGATTGACTGAAATTTTGCTTAGGTATCCCACAAAATAATGTTATAGAAAAGTCCTATTGGGGTTTGAGCTGAGTGGGCTATTATGGAGAGCACATATTGCTGACTCTACAAGGTAAAGGTTAAATGTTACTCACACCAGGTCATGGTGCTTCCCGTTGGGGGCGGGGAGGTAGGCTGTGATGGAGTTATGGTTAGGTGTAGAGGTTGGGGATTAAGGGTTTGGGATGTACTCACACTAGGTCGTGGTGCCTCTCGTTGGGGGCAGGGAGGTAGGCTGTGATGGCGTCCAGGAGAGGCTGAACACCTTTGTTCCTCAGAGAGCTCCCACAGAGCACCGGGACTCCTTTACGTGCCAGAGTCACCCTCCGCACTGCCTCCTGGAGCTGGAGAATACACAATACACCACATGCACACACAATACCACATACAGAACCCAGTCCTACTGCTAAAACATAAAGATCAAATTGTGAACACAAGCCTGGATCAAATACCACTTCCTCCTGCCGGGCTTACTCTTTCCATAGAGTGGCTTCTGGTAAGATGTTGGCCCTTATCGTGTGGTATAAATATATTTTATCTGAGATAAATATTGCTTACTTTGGCAGGAGGAACCGCATCAAAATTTTCACCGTAATCTCCAAGTAACAGCTCTGCAAACTCATCATCCAGATCAGCAACCTGTGAAGGAAAAATGCAAATGCCAACTAAGACACATAGCATTAACACGTTTTTACTATACTTATGTTTGTAAAGCGATCTAATCTATCAACAATAGCATAAAAAGAAGCACCCTACATCAACACTATCCACTAGATGACAGTTGGGATGATGATGTCATTTCCTGTACCTGTTCTATCAGAGCTGCTCTGGCCTCCAAGGCGTCCTGAATAAGTTCCGGGTCATCTGATTGGCTGAGGGATTTGGTCTCAAAGACACGGCCATCCTCTGCTCTGGATTTCACCCGCCACGTCATTTGCTGGTTGGTAATCAAGTCGACCAATCCTGTGAAGCTCTTCCCGCTGCCAATTGGAATCTGTGTAACAGGTTGTTTCTCATATATACTGTAATGTATGTCATTTTATATGGAGGCATCGTCACAGCAGGGAAGTTGAACAATGTAAAATACATAGAAGGCCTATTGAGAATGTTGTCTACCTGGAGGAGCACAGGATTGGCTTTCAGTTTCTTCTTTATGCTCTCAATGGAAAAGTGTAAACTATATAGAAAAAACAATAACATTTTATCAAAATTAACACTGTAATCTCAAATCCTAACAACAAGCATCAAGATATACTTCTGGTTACAACAGAAGGGAGTCACTATGTGATGCTGGTTGTTTTACCTGGCCCCAGGCTTGTCCATCTTGTTCAGGAAACATATACAGGGTACATGATGTTTCTCAGCCTGCCGCCACACTGTCAGAGTCTGAGCCTGGTGATATCGCAAGACATAACACAGAACACACAGCCATTACGAGTCACTAAAACACACACACATTTACAATACAATCAGCACCTCGATTCTAGGTCGGTTCAATTACTGTATTTTACTACGGACAATAAAGTCAGGTACACAGAGATGCATAGGCCTATTTCAGTACAGGGTGAGAACATGGCATCATATCAGGGCTTGACTCACCTCAACACCAGCAGAGGCATCAAACACAGCCACCGCCCCGTCCAACACACGCAGGGCTCGCTCCACTTCCAGAGTAAAGTCAACGTGACCTGAAACACCCCCCACACACACCCACACACACACAGTGTTGTACTATGGAGGGTCTATGGGTTTGTTTTTGTGCCAGGGGTGTCTGTCTATAGAATTAGTGTTTGTGTTTTTGTACGATTCATTGAACGAGACTGGCTCTGTACCTGGGGTATCTATGAGGTTGATCCTGTGCTTTTTCCAGTCGAAGGTGACTGCAGCAGACTGTATGGTGATTCCCCGCTCCCTCTCCTGAACCATGAAGTCTGTCACGGTGTCCCCGTCATCAACATCTGGGAAACAAGAAAAGAGAGAGAAATTGAGTTGCTAGCTTGGGACTCTGTTAAACAATGCAGGAAAAAGCTAGCAGAGGACGCAGAATTTAAATTGAATTACTGACCCCAACCTGCGCATCCCTCTACCCATGTCTATCATGGGTAGTGGGACCCCTCCTACACACCTCCCAAGGCCCTGGTGTATCCAGAGTAATACAGCATTCTCTCTGTGGTGGTGGTCTTCCCGGCGTCGATGTGTGCCATGATGCCAATGTTCCGGATTCTGGGGACAAACAATAGTGATTATTACATCTGATATTAAGGGGCTGTCAATGACCATGAAGTAGGCTATGGAGTAGTAATAAACATAGGCTGGAGCGGGTTTTACCACTTACTTGGATATATCTGGATTGACCACAGCTCGTGGGGATTTGACATCATCTATAGGATATAAAATAAGACATAGTAATTTGTATTACAAAAGCACTGAGAGATCAAAGTTCAGTTGAATATGGGAATGGGATATGTCATATACCTGGCAAAAAGCTGTACTGTCTTCTTCCTTGTAATCTCCACCTGCACGTCTGTGGTCCATTCTTCAGTAGACCTTTACCCTATACAACCCAACACAGAGCAATGCACATTATCCATAGAAAACAGTAGTGACTAGTGACAATGTGCAAATAGCCGACAGTACACAGTCTTTTAACCATGTTTGTCCCTGAAATGTAAGTCTTACCCCCCCAACCAGGACACTGAACGTCCCAATGCCTGTTCCCATGACAGCCCGAAGTCGCATCTTCAACCTACTTTGGGATTACAAACGTATTCCAGTGAGAAATATTGCAGACAGTCTTGACATGGACAAGGGCAATGTCGACTGCTCTGTGTGAATGTCATTCATCAACAATAAACCCTGTTGGCATTGAACTGGCTGTCAAATAAGGTAACGTTAAACACATTCTCTAAATGCCGGGCTTCTCAAGAACAATAATCAAAACCAGTATAATTAATTAATTATCTCAAATTATCAAAAACATGTTTCCACATCGATTCACGCTTTCCTTATGAAGTGCATCTTCAAAATACACCCCAAGCAGCAGTCCCATCTGAATTTCAGTTCCGGCTTTACATCTTAAAATAAATGTGTATTTATAGTTGAATAGTTCGGACTAGTTTAATGAATAGTAAAACTGTGCTGAATTATTTTGATAATGATTTGATCAATTTACTACGAATTACAAATAAATATGCAACGGGACTGCTCAGGAACCCTCGTATCTGGTTTCATTACAGAATGTGTTAAAGGGGACACTCTCCCATCACGTACTTCCTCTAACATATTGGCTTCGGAAAACAACACCAATGACCCAAGCCGCTAGCAAAAAGGACGAAAGAAATCAACAAATTCGATGAAATAAGTATTGTACTTGAATACGTAACATTCAATACACAAAATGGTAAGATATCCACATGTTTCACGTTCTTTATAACACAAAATGATAAGAAAACCTTCTAGCATACGAAGTTGCCTAGCTGGCTCGCTACTAGCTAACAACATGTGGCAGACATCCGACGACTAGCTGCTATTCAACCAAGAATTGTCTTTTGACATTGTGCTGGGAGACATATCAAAAGACAATTCTTGGTTGAATTTGTATTTATTATGGATCCCCATTAGCAGCTCTTCCTGGGGTCCAGCAAAATTAAGGCACTTATACATTTTTTAAAACATTACACTACATTTACAACCGATTTCAGGCCCCTACTATACTACCACATGTCTATAACACCAAATCCATGAGTACGTGTGTGTATAGTGCGTATGTTATCGTGTGTTTGTATGCATGTGTCTGTGCCTATGTTTGTGTTGCTTAACAGTCCCCGCTGTTCCATAAGGTGTGTGTTTCTGTTTTATATATTCGACCACATGCAGTGTCTAGAATGTGTTATGTTGATCAAATTGCTCTGAATAGAAAACCACGGCATTGTTTCAAGTACAATGAATTAACGTTACAGTTCATTTATTTGATCGAAAATATTATGAATAAGTTACGCCCGCTGGTCTGAATTGTTTTGATATTGCCTTAGCCTACGTAACTAGCTAATGTCAGCTACAGTACCTTCGGAAAGTATTCAGACCCCTTGACTTTTTCCACATTTTGTAACGTTACAGCCTTATTCTAAAATTGATTACATTGTTTTCCCCCCTCAATCTACACACAATACTCCATAATGACTAAGCGAAAACAGGTTTTTAGAAATGTTTGCTAATTTATTAAAAATAAAAAATAAAAATACTTTATTTACATAAGTATTCAGACCCTTTGCTATGAGACTCGAAATTGAACTCAGGTGTATCCTGTTTCCATTGATCATCATTGAGATGTTTCTACAACTTGATTGGAGTCCACCTTTGGTAAATTCTATTTATTGGAGATGATTTGGAAAGACACACCTTTCTATATAAGGTCCCACTGTTGACAGTGCATGTCAGAGCAAAAACCAAGCCAAAGGGGTCGAAGGAATTGTCCGTAGAGCTCCGAGACAGGATTGTGTTGAGGCACAGATCTGGGGAAGGGTACCAAAAAATGTCTGCAGCATTGAAGGTCCCCAAGAACACAGTGGCCTCCATCATTCATAAATGGAAGAAGTTTGGAACCACCAAGACTCTTCCTAGAACTGGCCGCCTGGGCCAAACTGAGCAATCGGGGGAGAAGGGCCTGACCAAGAACCTGATGGTCACTCTGACAGAGCTCTAGAGTTCCTCAGTGGAGATGGGAGAACCTTCCAGAAGGATAACCATCTCTGCAGCACTCCAATAATCAGGCCTTTATGGTAGAGTGGCCAGACGGAAGCCACTCCTCAGTAAAAGGCACATGACAGCTCGCTTGGAGATTGCCAAAAGGCACCTAAAGACACTCAGACCATGAGAAACAAGATTCTCTGGTTTGATTAAACCAAGATTGAACTCTTTGGCCTGAATGCCAAGCGCTACCTCTGGAGGAAACCTGGCACCATCTCTACGGTGAAGGATGGTGGATGTTTTTCATCGGCAGGGACTTGTCAGGATCGAGGGAAAGATTAACAGAGCAAAGTACAGAGAGACAGGACAATGACCCCGCAGGAGTGGCTTCAGGACAAGTCTCTTAATGTCCTTGAGTGGCCCAGCCAGAGCCTGGACTTGAACCCGATCGAACATCTCTGGAGAGACCTGAAAATAGCTCTGCAGTGACGCTCCCAGGCAACCTGACAGAGCTTGAGAGGATCTGCAGAGAAGAATGGGAGAAACTCCCCAAATACAGGTGTACCAAACTTATAGCGTCATACCCAAGAAGACCCGAGGCTGTAATCGCAGCCAAAGGTGCTTTAACAAAGTACTGAGTAAAGTGTCTGATTACTTATGTAAATATATTTCAGTTTATTTTTATCAATTAGCAAACATTTCTAAAACCCTGCTTTGTCATTTCTGATGTTTGTTGACTTAATACATTCAGAAAGCCTTAAAGAAACAATTAAAATGTGCCTCCTACCACAGCCCCAGAACGAGCACATTGAGTTACATCGCAAGCGCCATGGCCAGCGCCTGGACCACCAGGAGAGGAAGAGGAAGAAGGAGAGCCGTGAGGCCCACGAGCGCTCACACAAAGCCAGGAAGATGATTGGTCTGAAGGCCAAACTCTACCACAAACAGAGGCACTCTGAGAAGATCCAGATGAAAAAGACGTAAGTACAGTATAACCATAGACGAGTAGTACACTACAGTAGATCAACCAATGGTCTCCTTTATAGAGAGAATAGTATTGACTCTTAGGATTTAGGTTCAGGGACATGATAGATATAAGAGGTTTAATGTCCTATTTTTAAATGAATTCCTTGGTTCTGACATTGTAATTAAGACATCCTCTAGTAACTGCTATCGTCCAAATGTATATTGAAATGGCATATGCCATTGCCACCAATCCAAAACGTTTGTTGACCTATTGGTGCCAACACCACCTGTCTCACCACAGCCTCAAGATGCACGAGCAGAGGAAGACCAAGCAGAAGAACGATGACAAGACTCCTGAGGGAGCGGTACCAGCCTACCTGCTGGACAGAGAGGGACAGTCCCGCGCCAAGATCCTCTCCAACATGATCAAACAGAAGAGGAAGGAGAAGGCTGTGAGTATTCAATGCCTTTCTTTTACTTGTTTGTGTTTTTGCCACCATGTCCCACTGAAGACAGGTTATAGTGTCTGGACATATGATCTCATATAAAAGGGAACAACACCTAGATGAACCCAATCTGCATGCATTTTGCGTACCATGCAAACTATTTCAGGTCAAAGTACTTTGGTACGAAAAACTGAGCCAATCAAGAGAACTTGGGCTAGGAGACAAAATCTCTAGTTCTCTGCTCCGGCCCGTCCCCCGCTGTCGTAGTACTGTTTTCCTCCCTCGAGCTGGATGGCAGCGCTGCACTTCGTCCGTTGATACCACTGATGTGTAAGGGAAAGGGTAGGGGAAAATGGAGAAATACATTTTCCAAAATTTTATTAGTCAAGCACTTAACCACTATTATTTCGTAGTTAACTCCTTAGCTAAGGCGTCATTACGACTAAGGTAGTTAGCTACAGCATTTAGTCAACTAAGCGAGAACACTTTCTTGCCCGAACATGCTTTGATCTCCGCAACGGTAGTAGGTGCATTGACGTGCAAGGAAACGTGCTGTGTTTGCGGTAGTTCAGTACGTGGATGGAAACAGACCTGGCAGAGAGAGCTGTTCTGCTAATACCGTCTTTCACAAAGTTTTGTTAGACTGTTAATGATTAGTAGGCCTATGTTAATTAATCCGTTCTTGATCTCTAGGTTTTAGGAAATGGCAGTTACAGGTAAATATAAAATTAAAATAAAGCCAAATGCTCCAACTTCCTGAGAGGGGAGTTGACTGACCCCATCCGGACCTCCCACCTACTCAACCTTGTCAGAAAATCCTAGGAAGAGCCCTGATTGTACATTTCAACATATTTCTAGTTAGCTACTGAAGAGAAGCCAATTACCAAGAACCTATAACAGTCTATAGCCTACCATTCCTACTGAGGCAGTTTTCTGCCAACAAAGGTGCATTTGCCTATGATTTGAGCAGTGTGGGTGTTGCACGCCTGCCGTCTTGAGGTCCGGGGTTGCCGCCGCCGCACTGAAATGGTACTCGTAAAAATTATTCAAGATTGGCAGGTCTGCTATTGTCAGATTGTTTCAAATGTCAATGTAATACTGTATGGACTGTTTTCCTGCACACTCATTAAACCTAGTCCTGGATTAACATGCACTTTCAATGAAATCGGTCCTAAGTGTGCAAAGCCCAAGCCAGTTTAGTTGAAAACCGGTGTCCTGAAATGGTCTCTGAACTGGTCTTGTGTTTCTCCCTGTAGGGTAAATGGGAGGTGCCCCTGCCCAAGGTTCGAGCCCAAGGGGAGACAGAGGTGCTCAAAGTAATCCGTACAGGCAAGAGGCAGAAGAAGGCCTGGAAGAGGATGGTCACTAAAGTGTGCTTCGTAGGCGACAACTTCACCCGCAAGCCTCCCAAATACGAACGCTTCATCAGACCCATGGTAAGGAGGATAGCAACACTACTCACTAGCATACAGAGGTGTTAGATAGCAGTGTTAGATTGAAACTCTATGTAAACACCCTCGTTATCACTGTGTGAACATCAGAGTAACTTTGACTACATTTTTGTCATTTAGCAGACTACTATCTAGAGAGACTTAGTTACAACCAGTGCAATCAACTAAATTAGTTAAAACAACCTAAATTGACTTACTGACTTAAACCTTTTTGCTCTTTGGGGAAGCATAGGTCATTCACAAACTTCCTCCAGCGGGTTTGAGGTAAATAAATGTCCCACCATCCTCTGCCCTTCCTTCTCTCCAGGGTCTACGGTTCAAGAAGGCCCATGTGACCCACCCGGAGCTGAAGGCCACGTTCTGTCTGCCTATTCTGGGGGTGAAGAAGAACCCTTCATCACCCCTTTACACCACTCTGGGGGTCATCACCAAGGGAACTGTGGTAGAGGTCAACGTCAGCGAGCTGGGCCTGGTCACGCAGGGGGGAAAGGTCATCTGGGGTGAGATATCTCCTATCCTCTCACGTATTTTGATATTAAACTGGATCAGTATGGGACAGTTTCCCGGACACAGATTAAGCCTAGTCCTAGACTAAAAAGCACTTTCCATGGAGATTCTCCATTAAACATGTTTCTTAGTACACTACTAGGTTTAATCTGTGTCTGGGAAACCGGCCATATATATATTATTAATATCATTTTTTAACCAGGAAAATACCCTTGAGTTTAGAAACCCATTTTGCGAGGGGGACCTGTGGCTGCATAGCTGCCAGAATTGTGGGGATTTTGTTACTGTGTTGATTTGTTGTAATTGCTATAGCGAGAGATTTATTAAAGGGTATTAAGGCATGTAAAGCCACTTATAATGTAAGTGAAGAATGGTGAGTCATGGTGTCATGTTAGATTTATCTCAGGCCGTGTCTACACTTGACACTTGCATGCGAATTCTGCTATCAGAATACGAAGATCGCATTGAAAAGATGGGTCTAGACACACAAAAGTCGCTTTGTGGTCCGATTGTGTTTAGATCTGGCTAACCACTTCAGAAGGTTGTCTGGGATGCATTGTGTGCGTATTTCTCCTTAGTCTGGACCGAGAGGCACCTTTTCATTATAACTTTGTAGGAAGTACATTCCTAGCATGTGAGGAACGTGTTTGCTGGCCTCATAAAAATATTTTTTGTTTGTCTAGAGTTATGCTAACCCGTTTGCAATCCATTTAGCGTTGCTTGCTAGCTACAGAGGTTAGCTGGCTAGTTAGCTACAGTAGTTAGCCACTGCCGTCAGTTGTTGTTGTGTTATCATATTTAGCCTATTCCTCCGTTTTGTAGAATGCATACTGGCATTTGAATATAGCGCGGGAATAGGGAATCCGGACACACTGTGGACATGGTAGCCACATTTAAATGTAGGTGTAGATGCAGGTGTAGATGCATGACTCTTTCAGAATTCCATGAACAGAACTCTATGATCAGAATACTAAAGCTGCATGAACTGCCAAGTCTAGACACGGCCTCACTCCGACAACTGCATACTAGACTAGTCTGTCAGTGTTAGGCCGTGTCTAGACTTGGCAGTTCATGCAGCTTTAGTATTCTGATCATAGAGTTCTGTTCATGGAATTCTGAAAGAGTCATGCATCTACACCTATATTTAAATGTGCCTACCATGTCCACAGTGTGTCCGGATTCCCTATTCCCGCGCTATATTCAAATGTCAGTATGCATTCTACAAATGGTGGAATACATTTAAACACCTGCATTTAAATGTCTACCAAGTCCAGTGTTTTTAGTTTTTGTAAAAATTAGCTAGCTGGCTAGAATTTGAGGCCAGCAAACACGTTCCTCACACGCTAGGAACGTATTTCCTCCAACGTTATAATGAAAAGTTGCCTCTCGGTCCCAAAACACACGTTTTCTGGAGACTTGTGGGAGGAGTGCTGATGACATCGCCCACTGTATGCATTTTCAGAAGCCTGATTGCGTCCAGACTGAGGAGAAATCCACACACAATGCTTACCTGATTACCTTCTGAAGTGGTCAGCTAGATCTGAACACAATCAGAACACAAAGCAACTTCTGTGCATCTAGACCTGTCTTTTCAATGCAATATTCGTATTCTGATAGCAGAAGTCACATGTAAGTGTCAAGTGTAGACACGACCTTATTCACCTTCTGTAGTGTAGTGATTTAAAATATCTCATTTATTTATCTTCTCTGCAGGTAAATACGCCCAGGTGACGAATAACCCAGAGAACGATGGCTGTATTAATGCTGTACTGCTGGTGTAAATCAAGAACTCTATGGGACGGTTCCCCGGACACAGATTAAGCCTAATCCTGGACTAAAAAGCATTTTCAATGGAGATTTTCCATTGAACTTGCTTTATAGTCCGGGACTAGGCTTAATCTGTGTCCGAGAAACGACCCCATCAATACAGACTGTGCCTGTAACATACAGCCAGAGCTATGGCTGGCATGGAATAACGGACCAGAACAGGAACACTGAAACCTCTTGGGATAAACCATGTGTTCAGCCGTGTAGAAAATCATAAAAACACAGAAAAGATTGGCTGCAGTATTTTTGCAACAAGGTGTCTCGTAACTAAATACTAAAACATGCTCAAAGGAATGTGTGACTAAATATAAGGGGTTGTTTTTTTGTCATAAATTTGTCATATCAATTGTTTTTCTGATTGTTTTTCTTTGTTGCATCACAACAACATTCATATTTGACTGTGCTCTGAGAAGTTTCCAGTTTTTTGGGGGGTGGTCCAAACTGATCACAGATTACTTGGAAGAGCAGTAAACTCGAAAAAGGATGGTGTTATTAACGTGAGAAAGGGAGAATGTAACATGATAAATGATAGCCATCCTATACAGGTCCCCACCACAACTCCGACGGCAGGCCAACACAGTGGAGCCCCAGTTTGGGACGGATATGGTAGCTGCAGTGATACTGATGCTCATCTGCTGGAGTACATGTTAGGAGTCTTCTATTGATACACCTGTGTTGTATTGTATGTAGGGCTGTGTTACACTAATATACAGGGCAGCAGGTAGCCTAGCGGTTAAGAGCGTTGGGCCAGTAACCGAAAGGTCGCTGGTTCAAATCCCTGAGCCAACTAGGTGTCTGTGCTGTTGAGCAAGCACTTTACCATAAGAGCGTCCGCTAAATGACTCAAATGTTAAATGTAATACAGCTGTGTTAGTGCATGTAGGGCTGTGTTATACAAATATATATATATATACACACACTGCCTTTGGAAAGTTTTCGGACCCCTTGACTTTTTCCACATTTTGTTACGTTACAGCCTTATTCTAAAATGGATTAAATAAAAACATTTCCTCAGCAACCTGACAGAGCTTGAGAGGATCTGCAGAGAAGAATGGGAGACACTCCCAAAAATACAGGTGTGCCAAGCTTATAGCGTCATACCCAAGAAGATCCGAGGCTGTAATCGCTGCCAAAGGTGCTTCAACAAAGTACTGAGTAAAGGGTCTGAATACTTATGTAAATGTAATATTTCAGTTTTTAAATGTTAATACATTTGCATTCATTTCTAAAAACCTGTTTTTGCTTTGTCATTATGGGGTATTGTGTGTAAATTGATGAGGGGGGAAACAATTCAATACATTTTAGAATAAGGCTGTAACGTAACAAAATGTGGAAAAAGTCAAGGGGTCTGAATACTTTCCGAATGCACTGTACGGAGTTGCTTATCAAGACGACATTGAATGTTCCTGAGTGGCTTAGTTACAGATGTGACTTAAATCGGCTTGAAAAGCTATGATCAACAACCAACTTGACAGAGCTTGAATACATTTTTAAGACCTCTGGTTGCAATTCTTGTGTTGTACGGATGTTTGTCCGAACTGTGTGCCAACTGCTTGAACAGACCTTCAACACATCAATACCTCTCACAAAGACCAATAGTGATGCAGTCAATTTCTCCTCAACTTTGAGCCAGGAGAGAATGACATACATGTTACTGACACTTTCTCCGTGTACATCTAAGTGCAATACGTGCTGCTTTGTTCTGGACCAACTGCAATTTACCATGACCACACAGCTGGGCAGTAGTCCAGGTGCGACAAAACTAGGGCCTGTAGGACCTGTCTGGTCGACTGAGATGTCAAGAAGGCAGAGCAACGCCCTATCATGGACAGACCTCTTCCCATTTTAGCAACCATTGAGTCTATATGTTTTGACCATGACAGCTTGCTATCTAGGGTTACAACCAGCATATTAGTCTCCTCAACTTGTTCAATAGCTACATTATTCAATAATATATCTAAATGAGGTTTAGCGTTGAGCGAGTGATTTGTCCCCAAAATTATGCTTTTAGTTTTTGAGATATTTAGCACCAGACTATTGCTAGTTACCCATTCTAAAACTGACGGGAGCTATTTATTAAACTGTTTCTCCGTTATTTATTTTACCGTGTGTACTGTTGAGTCGTCAGCATACATAGACACACAGGCTTTATTCAAGGTCAGAGGAAAGGCATTTGTAAAAACAGAAAACAATAATGTCCCGAGCCGGCTGCCCTACGGTACACCACACTCAACTGAGTTTGCATGAGAGGCTTCCAGTAACGAAAACCCTATGTGTTCTATTAGAACGGTAACTCTCAATCCATAATAAGGCAGAGGATGCAAATCCATAACACTTACGTTTTTTCAGCAATAGGTTACGATCAATGACATCAAAAGCTTCACTGAAGTCTAACGAAACAGCTCCCACAATCGTCTTACTATCAATTTATTTCAGCCAATCATCAGTCATTTGTGTCAGTGCCGAGCATGTTGAGTGACCTTCCCTATAAGCATGGTGAAAGTCTGTTAATTTGTTTTTTTGTAAAACACCTTTGCATTTGATATTTTTTCCAAAAGTTTGCTAAGCACTCATCAGGCTGATTGATCAGCTGTTTTAACCATTAAAGTGTGCTTTGCTATTCTTGGGTAGTGGAATGACCTTTACCTCCCTCCATGTCTGGGGACATACTCCGTCTTCTAGGCTTAAACTGAAGATGTAGCAAAATGGAGTCACAATGTATTCTGCTACCAACCTACCATCCAGGTTGTCGGTACCAGGTGGTTTGTCCTTATTGATAGATGTTAACAATTTTTTCACCTCTTCCACACCCACTTTGTGGAACTCAAAACTACAGTGCTCGTCTTTCATTATTAGGTCCATTATGCATGAATATGAAGGCTCAGCATTTGTTGTTTGCATGTCATACCTAAGTTTGCTAATCTTGTCAACAAACAAGTTATTAAAGTGGTTGGCAATATCAAAGTGTTTTGTTATGAACAAGCCATCTGCCTCAATGAAGGATGGAGCCGAGTTTGCTTTTTTGCCTAGAATTTCATTTACAGTACTCCAGAGCTTTTTACTATCATTATTTATATCCTTTATCTTTGTTCCCTTTTGTTTAGTTACGTGATTTCTCAATTTACTGTATGTTTTCCAGTTTGCTGTGTTGTCAGATTTATATGCTATTCCCTTTGCCTCATCCCTCTCAGCCATACAGTTTTTCAATAAATCATCTATCCATGGGGATTTGGCAGTTCTAACAGTCCGTTTCTTGATGGGCACATGCCTATCAGTAACCGGAAGAAGCAGTTTCATAAATGCTACAGGTACAGCGTCCGGATGTTCCTCATTACACACATCAGACCAACACATCTTTTTCATATCTTCGTCATAGGAATCATTGCAAAACCTCTATGTTCGTTTATAAACAATTTTAGGTCCAGTCTTTGGAACTTTGGCTATTATATTATGATCACTACATCCGATGTGTGTGGATACTGCTTTAGTGCAGATTTCTGCAACATTAGTAAAGATGTGATCAATACGTGTGGATGATTCTGTTTGTAAATACCCTGGTAAATTGACTGATGACTTGAACCAGATTGCAGTCACTGGTTAAAGCTTGGAGCTTCTTTTTGAGTGGGCAGCTTGATGGCAAACAGTCAATATTTAGGTCATCCGGAAAATATACCTCTCTGTTGATATCACATACATTTAAGTGATAATGCCCGAGTAGCCGGTGTTTGGAGGATATATTGACACGGGTGTTGTTAGGCCCGAGACAAAGTCGAGGGCCGGCAAACCGTGCCAATATATCCTCCAAACACCGGCTTCGAGGGCATTATCACTTCTATACAAGGGGTTACCAACATATTCAAATAATGATTGACATATTTTCATTAAAAACGTTATTTGTATTAATTTATTCATACTATTTAATCCTTCCACAAGATATCGTCCCGACACAAATCTAGGGTTGCTACCCAAGCCGGCTGGTCGTTCGTTCTATCGGTTCGGTTGCTAGAGATGTGACCCAGTCGTTAATTCTAAATGTTCCATTGCCATACTGGCTGGCAACGTTATTATCCCTTGCTTGCTAGCTAGCCAACTACGGTTAACTTATAGTCACTTTCAAAAAGTGCAGCCAGAAAAACAGCAAAGTAGAGGCATTTGCATTTGTTTAAGCTGTTTTCTAGTGACATTTATTTGGATACATCCATAACAATGAGCTAATGAGGCGCGACTTCGCCTGGCATAGAAAATGTGCTCACTCGTCACGACACTGTTGTTCAGAGGAGCTAGCCAACAACACAGCTAACACAATCACTTCAAACTGAAGCTGGAAAGGCTGCAAACTAGTTGCACTTCGTTTTGTTTGACCTTTTTTTCAATTTACATTGCTTTGTATCTATCCATAAAAATTATGCCAGCTGATTCATGATTTCGACTGGCTGAGAAACGCTGTCTGTCTGTCTCGTCCCGACAAGTTCATTACTATGGGACAGCTGGAGATCGAATTTGAATATTGAAACAATGTTGCAAAAGTCGGAGACACAGACAGCAAGGTTTATACAAATATCCGCTGTTGAAAACTAAATGTTAGTCTAAAAGAAATGTGAAATAATATCTAGATGCTTTTTATAGTGGAGATCAAGTTTATAACTTGCCTGGCTGGGCTGATGATAAAGTAGATTGTGCAGTCAGATGGAACAGAGTAGATAGGCATTTTAACGTCATAGATTTAGCCGGTGGTTACTTGTGGAATAGACACCGTCTGGAATGCACTTTTAACCAAGTAGTATTCAGGATTAGACCCACCCGTTGTATAATATCCAACAATTCACACAAATAGTCAAAATACTGACTTTTAGCACTTGGTCTATAGCAACTTCCTACGAGAATAGGCTTTAGGTGAGGCAGATTAACCTGTAGCGATATTACTTCCACATCATCTGACTAACAGGAATATGACTCTGGACATTCATGGCAACACCTCCGCCATTTGCATTTCTATCTTTCCTATATATTCTATAACCATGTATAGCTACTACTGCATCATCAAAGGAATTATCTAAGTGTGTTTCAGAGAGAGCCAGAATATGAATGTTTTCTGATGTTTATACGTTTTCAATTTCATGAACCTTGTTTTTCAGGCTACATATATTCATATGGGTTATTTTTAGTCATTTTCTGGGTTGCTTGTTTGTTTTTAGTGCATTTCTGAGAGGCTGATCCAAGGTAGACATGTCAGTGACATTTACATTTGAGTCAATGGTACAGAGTGGGCTGCCCACAGTGGGCTTCTTCCTAAGGCAGACAGTTTCAGTGCAAACAGTGGAATTCAATTATATGTGCATATGATTATTGCAGACAATACCCTCGGAGCGAACAGTTAAAGGAGCGTTGGGCCAGGGGTGAGTGTTGGGCCAGTAACTGAAAGGTTGCTGGTTCGAATACCCGAGCTGACAAGGTGAAAAATCTGTCAATGTACCTTTGGACAAGGCACATGATCAACATCATTATGGCCTTCTCTATTCTTAAAGACCACCAGGTGGGAGAAGAGAGTAGGAGTTCTTACATTTCCTTCAACCTTTTTGATATTTCATGTACTCAAACAAAACACATTTTTTCCCATATAAAAACATTTTAATGAAAAATAGTGAACCTTCCTATAATTATTTTGTGCATTGTTTAGATCGAGAACAGTAACTGCATGCCAACTGTAAGGCACAGTATACAATTGTGCTTAAAACAATTATTTAATTGTGGTTAAGCTATATTAACAAAAATACATTTGGATTTACTTCATTGCAGACACAGGGCTGTTGGGCTACTCAAATAAATGATTTAGGACAAATCTGGATCAATCTTGAAATAAGTGAAAAATGAAAAAATTGGTGGATTGAACACTAAATACTTGTATACCCACAAAGATAAACTGACAGCAGATTTTGAAATGTACACAATGCTTCTGGTGAATGAGTAAGGATTAAAAACAAAGGGAAAATAGATGCACGTTTTTAAGGCAGATTTTTCCATGTTTAGGTATTGGTAAACTGGGTATTGACAACAGATATAAAATACACAATTAATGGGTATCCCGTGCACCACAAATGCACAATATTTCAGTGCAAAATTTTTAATGACAATTAAAAGGTGCAATCTGCAATAGTTACAGCTGTTCAAATCTTATTTCAATTAACGATTATTACACATCGATTCTTGAAGAATATAACTATCATGTTGATCTCATGGACAGTGTGAGTCCTTGCATCCATAGCACCCTCTATCATTTGGAGAGTGGTTACATTTCTCTGGCCCCGGCATCCCTCAGATTGATAGCTAACCAAGTGGCAGGGATGCCGTTTGTCTGATTTTTTTTGGGACATATTGTAACTTTAAACCACATTTGTTTCTAATATACATCTAGTATTCAATTGCCACTGAGTTCATGTGCAGCAGAATTCCCCTGAAAAAAATGAAATAATTTTTGGAGATTCTAATTTACAGAACATATAAGTTAGGATCAAGCACCTTGATTGGTTAAAAATGATAACTTTTCCCTCAGTGTTTTTTTAAATGTATTTTTTATCTCTCCTTAAATTCACCCTCCTCTCTCTCAGTAGTCCATTAGTCCATCTTCAGGGAGAAGTGACATCAGGAGAGACCGTTGAAGTCCTCCACATGGTTGTGTTGACGTTGGGAGACCTGAGGGGCGGGTCATCATCCCCTTTCTGAGTTCAGTCACTGACTTCCTCACTCCGACTGGCGGAGATGTTGTCATTAAGAAAGTGCACACAGTAGAGTAGGTGGTAGACAAGATACAGTAGCTGTTCCCTCTGAGATCGTCTACATTGCCGTCAGCAACAGCAGACCGACTGATCAGACCTACAAACCACCTTTCATCCTAAATTACTACTCATTATGATTAGATCGGTCAGTCTGCAGCCGCCGGCAGCAACGTAGTCGATCTCAAACACACACTATGTATAGTAATCTAGCTTGCCGCCGATGGTCTTGCAGCCCTTGCCGGAGAAGATCTTTTCACTCTTGGGGAAATAGACCAAGTCTCTGGCCATCTGGTCGACCATGTCCTGGTCGGGCTCCAGGCCCTTGGCGGCCATCTCTGCCATGCCACACAGCATCACGTGTCTGTACTCCAGAGGCAGGAAGGGGACGAAGAAGTCAACTAGGTTCTTGTCTATCAGACTAGTGTGCCACAACCCACCTACACAAAGGGAGGGAGGGAAGGACACAGTCATAAGATGGGCAAGAAGACACTACCACCAATTGCTTACCCAATCCTCTCAAATGTGCACAAGTGCCTAGGGGGTAAGGATAGTCATAAGATGGACAGGGGCAAGAAGGGCAGATGGACAGAATAAAGAGATAACACAGGTCATCTTTTTACTGAAGGTCTGAAAAGTCTCCAATAACATCCCCAGCCTTCTAACCCCAGGCTTAGTAACAAAGTGAAAAATCCTAACCTAAGAGAAACATACACTACATGACCAAAAGTATGTGGACACCTGCTCGTCGAACATCTCATTCCAAAATCATGGGCATTAATATGGAGCTGGTCTCCTCTTTGCTGCTATAACAGCCTCCACTCTTCTGGGAAGGCTTTCCACTAGATGTTGGAACATTGCAGCGGGGACTTGCTTCCAGTCAGCCACAAGAGCATTAGTGAAGTCGGGCACTGATGTTGGGAGATTAGGCCTGGCTCGCAGCCGGCGTTCCAATTCATCCGAAATGTGTTGGATGGAGTTGAGGTCAGGGCTCTGTGCAGGCCAGTCAAATTCTTCCACACCAATCTTGACAAACCTTTTCTGTATGGACCTCGCTTTGTGCACGGGGGCATTGTCATGTTGAAACAGTAAAGGGACCTTCTCCAAACTGTTGCCACAAAGTTGGAAGCACAGAATCATCTAGAATGTCATTGTATGATGTAGCATTAAGATGTCCCTTCACTGGAACAAAGGGGCCTAGATCGAACCATGAAAAACAGCCCCAGACAATTATTCCTCCTCCACCAAACTTTACAGTTGGACTATGAATTTAGGCAGTTAGCGTTCTCCTGGCATCCGCCAAACCCAGATTTGTCAGTCGGACTGCCAGACAGTGAAGCGTGATTCATCACTCCAGAGAACGCGTTTCCACTGCTCCAGAGTCCAACGGCGGTAAGCTTTACACCACTCCAGCCAACGCTTTGCATTGCGCATGGTGATCTTAGGCTTGTGTGGCTGCTCGGCCATGGAAACCCATTTCATGAAGCACCTGACAAAGAGTTATTGTGCTGACGTTGCTTCCAGAGGCAGTTTGGAACTCGGTAAAGAGTGTTGCAACTGAGGACAGACTATTTTTACGCGCTACGCAATTCAGCACTCGGCGGTCCAGTTCTGTGAGCTTGTGTGGCCTGACAAACTGACTCAGTGCCACGTTGAAAGTTACTGAGCTCTTCAGTAAGGCCATTCTACTACCAATGTTTGTCTATGGAGATTGAATGGCTGTATGCTCGATTTATACACCCGTCAGCAACGAGTGTGGCTGAAATAACCGAAATACACTATTTGAAGGGGTGTCTACATACTTTTGTACATATAGTATATGTGTATGATTTGTTAAATATGAAAAATAGTTACCAAAGTGTATATGTTAGGCTTCAGCCCTAAAGAAGGACGGCAAAGAGGTGGCTTACTCTGCTTGTTGTTGAACACGGACAGGGAGAGAGCTGGTTCTAAGTGTTGCAATTTCATCTCCTCTCGGTCTCGACCTGCTTTCCAGAAGTCCAGGGCCACCTGCGTGATGTGCTCTCCTCCAGCATTGCTATGGAGATTAGCAAAACAAACTAGTAGATATTAAGCATGGTCCAACGTTTTTTTTTTTTTTCACTGGCTCGGTCGGACCAGTTGGCCAAAAATCTACTAGCCCGAACAGAATTTCCATGGCCACTTTAAGCTGGGTCCCCAACGTTATTTTCTCTTCCTCACTGGTCCGGACATGGAGTAGTTTATAAATGCATTAGGTTCATGTGTGGTGATTTTATTTGCAAAATTAAAACATCTGAGTAACTGAACTTAGTTTTGGGGGGCCGTATCTGATTGACACTGACTTTTAGCTAAGTAAAACCATGGTCATTATAAAGAGTCCGTTAAGTTTGTGGAAAGATAATATGATGCATGTCTGTACTATATTTGACTGTAAATCCAGTAAAAAAATAAAAAAATACAAAAGTATCCAAAAACAACACATTAATTCTTATCACACACTGCTGGTCTGTCTGCCCTACCTGAGGAAGATGAAGATGGCTTGGCGGTAGGAGACCCCGTCCAGATTTTCGTAGTAGTCCAGGTAGGGCTTTATACAGTCGATCAGGCCAGGGTGCATCTTGTCCATCTCGTCAAAGATGAACATGGAACGTGGGCAGTTGGTGACATTGCCTTTGATCCACTGCTGCAGCTGAGACTGAGGGATGGTCACAACAGTTTAAACACAGACTTATCTACAGCAGTGAAGACAGCTTACAGCATAGCCGCAAAATATATTTAAAATTATTCAGCTATACATTCTGTATCCTATAGAACCCTCTAATTCAAATGTGAACCTTGAAGCCAGTCTAACCAGGGACTGATTTAGACCTGGGACACCAGGTGGGTGCAATTAATTATCAGGTAGAACAGAAAAACAGCAGTACTACAGGGTAAGATTTGAATACCCCTAATATAGAATATTACAGCCTAATTCTCTATTGAGAATTTCCCTGCCACAGTTACAAGGGATTATACTGTATTTCAATATAACAAAATACTTGTTTTACCTTGTAGTTCTCAATCTGACTCAGATGAGGGAAGTGAGCTGTAGACACAAACTGATGGACGAAACTGCTGGTCATGCCCTCCTTGTAGATGTTTTCAGCTATCAACTGGCTGACGAAGTTCTTCCCTGTGCCAGTCCAGCCATGTAGAGAGAGCACCAGGGGCTTTTTAGGGTTTTTATTGTTCATGAAACCCGTTACAGCTTTCTGGATGACTCTGGAGGCAACATGTTGACCAAACAGCTTCCGATCTAGGGCCACTTCCAAACCTGATGACCGGGCAGAAGTCGATTATTAGTGTCAATGAATGGGACATGTGCTACGAATACACCACCATTATTTCTATACAAATAACAGGTGGTTATCTTCATAACATGTGATTAGTTATGCATGTAGGATACATCTGCTAAGTAGGCTAGTGGTGCGCGGGTCAGCTGTTTGCTCACCCTTACCCGCCCACAATTGCTAATAACCGATAAGCAACCCCCCGACTATATTGAAAATCTGTGGCCAGCACCCGACCCTAACCCACTAATATAGAAAATCCGCTGTAGGCTAGTCAGAGATGGTAGAATGATATTATTTTTGCCTGATTTAGGATGTTCCTGCTTATAATTCCAGACATTTTGGTAGGCGATTTGTTGTTCAACGTCTACAAATAGATACATGCAGCTTCTCTTCTGTCATATGTTGTCCTGGAAGACTAAATAAACCCTTGCTCACCAATGTCATAAATAGATGGAATGAACGCTTCAATCTATTTGACATCAGTAAAGTTATCTCCGTCATCTCTGCCTCTTTCGCGAAGGAAAGACGTTTAGCTGTGAAAACGACCCAAAATGTATCTGATACGATTTCAGTTCGGCTTGGATGCATATCTCATGTGGTTGAAATAGCCTACTATCAGCTTATGATGCTGATAAAGATACCTCCTCTACAGACGGTATCTAACTGTGCATTTGCATTCTCTCAAGATGCTGAAATAAATAAATCATATTTCTCCTGTTCCCGAGTCAAAATTGTGCCTACATTTGGTGTATAATTTTACTGCAAGAAATGCTTAAATCTGCAGGAGTTTCTATTAAGGCTAAGTGAGTGGTTATACACCTACAGTCAGTGTCCAGAATTCAGTTTCCATTCAGCCCATCTGAACAGTAGCCAAGGCTACAGTTCCCTTGACGTGCATAGGCCTATTTGAAGTCTCTGTCTTCTGACTGTCACAATCATCACACATAACCGACACTACTATCATCCTCTTTTACCACTTCACCAAATATTTCCCGAACATTACTTCTTATTTCACAGTTTTTCTCTTTTTGAATTAAACTCCGACGTTGTCCTTATTGCCTCAGTGGATCGATTTTTCTGCCTGTTCCCATTTAAATGGACAATTCTGTTAACTGTCTTGTGCAAGTTTAAAATCGACACAACACCTGTTAGCAAGAGATGATGTGCAGGAGCTTGCAGGGATTTGTAGTTTTGCATGACGTGTACTTTGACGCTAATTAGCATTTTCGAATCTGTGAGTAAATACGAGGCGAATAAATTGATAAGTCACCTTGTCCGAGAGAAATTTACATGGTTATCAAAATGTCACGCCAGTGTAAGCCTACACGATACACAGCCCTTATTTTAAGTGTTTCTAAAATCCCTATAATCTATACAAAAATGGTGGGGAAATGATTGAACCGTTTGACCGCTAGGTTTTTACTGGTTTTATGACACCTCCACTGTGGGGCTCTTATTTGGCGCGTGTACAGTTATGCTGCGTTCAAAACAACTGGGAACTCGGAAAAGTCAAATCATGACGTCAGTGATCTTCAGGTCGGAAAGTCGGACCGAGTTGGATGACCGTTCAAATCGATTTTTCCCAGTCGAGCTCCTTTTTGTTCCGAGTTCCCAGTTATTTGAACGCACTGAAGTTGGAGATTTCCGAGTTCCCAGTTGTTTTGAACGCGGCATTAGACCCGAAAGCTTACGCACTAACGTTAGAGCCTAAAATAATGAAATAAAAACATAAGTAGCCTATAGATGATTAATTTATGGATTTTAAGTATTGCTTTCTCTTTTTTCAAGCCCCCTTCATCCACACAATTTGTAATGACCCTGCCCATCACTAAAGTAGGCCAACGGTATAGTGGTGCAGATCTAAAAGCAATTGGAAGATAAAAACGTAAAGGGTTTGACTGTGTCTACATGATCAAATAGCCTAAGTAAACTACAATAACACATCAACCATCTAATAGTTTACCTGTACACATACCTGTTGAATTAAAAGCAACCCATTTTGAATCGCAACTTTCATATAAATAATTGTACATTTTCTGCCCCACTGCTGCTAGGCCTACTCCCGCACCGACCACAAATGTGGTTGAGATTGGTTCGAACGCATTCACAAGAACACTCGATATCAAAACATAATATCCGAACAAGATTGTGTATGTTGCTCTCATTTTCACTTAAAATAAACATTTAGCTACCTAGCTTATCATTTAGGAGTGCAAAGACGTTAGATATTACTGCACTATCGGTGCTAGAAACACAAGCATTTCGCTACAGCCGCAATAACATCTGCTAAACACATGTATGTGACAAATAAGATTTCATTGCAAATCAGCTACGGTCGTTCCTGTTACGTAATCATTATGCGACAGCAAATGTCGCGTTCAAAACAATTGGAACTTGGAAATCTCCGACTTGAGTGCGTTCAAGACAATTGGGAACTCGTGTGAAAAATCAATAAGAACCGTCATCCAACTCGGAATTCCAACTCGGGAACTCGGGCCTCTTTCTAGATCTCCGACCTGGAGATCACTTACGTCATAATTTGACCTCGTATTTTCCGGAGGTCCCAGTTGTTTTGAACGGGCACCTTTATAGATATATTTTTTTTGTCATATATATAATACATTTTTTAATTCATTATACAAAATATCAACAATTTACATCACTACATCAAACATGTCGAACAAAACAACACAGGTATAAACAAGAAAATACTAAATACATACAACAACAAAAAGATTCCATTGCGGGAATATTCCATTGCGGGATCCCTAGACAGGCTCAGGTGGCTGTGAGGACAGAGCACTCATCGACAGGATTCCTCGTAATGCCTCTGCTGTAAAATCCCTGAGTCCCCCAAAAAAGCTCAGCCGCACTCACAATAATGCCTATTTTCTCTGATTTGCTCTCTGCTTGCACAGTGCAGATGATAACCAATGCAATAAAAGCTCGGCCTACAAAGTTCACCTTCTTAACATGCAACATGTCAGGATCCCTCTGTTGACAAGGAACATTATCTGGTGTCTCTATTCCTACTACCATTATTTGTTTCAACTTCACTCCTTTTTCCACTATTCTCACCGTCTCTGCATAGGAGACATGCTGGACAGCCCTTATTCTTCAGAAGTTTGGGTGCATGTTCACCACAATTGCATCATTTAGGCTCATCTGGCATACGATACCCCTCCCGTCTACATACACTTGACATATGACCAAATATTTTGCATTTATCACACTACATGGGTTTGGCACAAACCATGAAAAACAGCCCCAAACCATTATTCCTCCTCCACCAAACTGTACAGTTGGCACTATGGATTGGGGCATGTAGGGTTCTCCTAACATCTGCCAAACCCAGATTAGTCCGTCGGACTGCCAGATGGTGAAGCGTGATTCATCACTCCAGAGAACGTATTTCCACTGCTCCAGAGTTCAATGGCGGCAAGCTTTACACCATTCCAGCCGACGCTTGGCATTGCGCATGGTGATCTTAGGCTTGTATGCGGCTGCTCGGCCATGGAAACCCATTTCATGTAGCTCCAGCCAAACAGTTATTGTGCTGACGTTGCCTTCCAGAGGTAGTTTGGAACTCGGTAGTGAGTGTTGCAACCGAGGAAGGCGATTTTACACGCAACGAGTTTCAGCACTCGTCGGTCCCGTTCTGTGAGCTTGTGTGGCCTACCACTTTGCAGCTGAGTCGTTGTTGCTCCTAGAAGTTTCCACGTCACATTAACAGCACTTACAGTTGACCGGGGCAGCTCTAGCAGGGCTGGAATTTGACGAACTGACTTGTTGGAAAGGTGTCGGTGCCACGTTGAAAGTCACTGAGCTCTTCAGTAAGGCCATTCTACTGCCAATGTTTGTCTATGGAGATTGCATGGCTGTATACTCGATTTTATACACCTGTCAGCAACAGGTGTGGCCTAAATAGCCAAATCCACTAATTTGAAGGGGTGTCCACATACTTTTGTGTATATAGTGTAGATGTGGTAGTTGCAGCGAAATATTTGGGCGTGAGAGATTTTAGTGCAGAAGATCTACAGGAAGTTTTGAGAGAAAGGGTTCCATCCTCCCAGGCCGATGGCCTGGTGTAGGATCGTTTAGGGTCAACGTAGTGGAATGGGGTGGTGGGTTTTTGGGGATAGCTATAGGAGGATGGGCTCATTGTAATGGCTATTAAGGAATATATGGAACGCCTCTGGATTAGAAAGTCTGTGAGGTAACTGCATACATGGAGTGTGTCTGAAAGTGGTTGTGTCAACAGAAGTGGGAGGATCAACAGAAGTGGGTGTATGGCAAGCGAATCAGCTAATTGGGCAGATTTTTTGTCACTCAAGACCGTTTTGCGTGGCTGATTGGGCTGCACGATGAGTCCATTGTTGACAACTACAGCATTTTAGCTAAGCCTAACCCTAACCCTTTTCCTAACCTTAAACTCATTATCCTAACCAGCCACATTAATTATCTTAACCTGCCAAGTTAATTCTCCTGCTACGTTAGTTCTCTTAACCTGCTATGTAAACATTAAGCTGACCGCGGTGCACCCGGCTATGGCAGTCTAACCAATAATGGAGCGTTGATGTTACACCCATCCCTGTTGATCCACCCACTTATTTTGCAACGCCCACTTTCAGACACACTCCAAGTATGCAGTTACCTATACTTGCCAAATTGGGCTACTTTTAAAACAATTTATTGGTCACAGTTTTTTTGGGGGGGAGCTACTTCTAAATTGTACCACGGCCACCATGGCATTTCTCTTTTGTACAGATGTGAGCGCTACGGGACGATAGTTATTTAGACAGGTTACCTTGGCGTTCTTGGGCACAGGGACTATAGTGGTCTGCTTGAAACATGTAGGTATTACATACCAAGGGTTGTGAACTGAAATTATTTTCCAAACGTTTCATTCTGAACATCATTTTTTTCGTTCCGTTCCACTGTTTGACCAGCAAAGTAAAGTTCTGTACTGGTTTGAACCAAAAAAAAAAGTTATGATTTATATCGTTCCTTTCTGTTCCTTTTTAAACCTCTGAAATCTACTATAAAAAAAATGTTTTAGTTCAACATTAAATTAAATGACCAATGGATAGAGCAGCTTGCTATGGAGCGGGCAAGCTATGTACATGCATTGGACAGACAAGTGTAGTGTAGGATGCGACTGAAATTTTGCGGGTGAGGGCGCTGAGCATGAAGCGCTGGGCATCTTGTTGTTATGACATGCATTATCGGAATTAGGCCCACATAATTATACCTACGGAGGAGCGGCTTCTATGAAGGAACTTTGAATGTCTTTGAACTTCAGAGAGTTGGCTTAACTAACATTGGACCAGAGCTAGCCCTTGATCATGACTCTCAGATCCATTACATTACACATAATGCCGCCTAGGGTTTGATAGCTAGACCAGTGCTAGCTATCTAACAAGCTTGTGCGTTCAAAGCGGCACCAGAATTAAAATAAAAACACATCTTACTTTTTTTTTGTTAATAAAGCCAATGTGGGCAGGTAGCCTAAACACACACACACACTGACAAAGATTTTCAGCTGGCAGGCAGGCAGACACTGGAATACATTTCTGAGTGACAGTGAAGGCTTTGCATAGGCGCATTGTTGTGTTTTTTGTGGAACTGGGAAAAAAAATGCCCTGAACATAAATTAACGTTATTAACCGGTTCCCATGCTTTTAAAAGAACAGTTATGTTGCAGAACAGATCACTTTCATTCTCGGTTCTGGTTCTGTTCCTCGAAAAATGTTTACTTTCTGGTTTTCGGTTTTCTTCCCTGAACCGGTTCCAACCTGTTACAGTCTGGATCAGGTTGAAAATATTTTTTATTTATTTATTTTATTTAACCTTTATTTAACCAGGTAAGCCAGTTGAGAACAAGTTCTCATTTACAACTGCGACCTGGCCAAGATAAAGCAAAGCAGTGCGATAAAAACAACAACAGAGTTACATATGGGGTAAAACAAAACATAAAGTGAAAAATACAACAGAAAATATATATACAGTGTGTGTAAATGTAGCAAGTTATGGAGGTAAGGCAATAAATAGGCTATAGTGCAAAATAATTACAATTAGTATTAACACTGGAATGATAGATGTGCAAGAGATGATGTGCAAATAGAGATACTGGGGTGCAAATTAGCAAAATAAATAACAATATGGGGATGAGGTAGCTGGGTGGGCTAATTTCAGTTGGGCTGTGTACAGGTGCAGTGATCGGTAAGGTACTCTGACAACTGATGCTTAAAGTTAGTGAGGGAGATAAGTCTCTCCAGCTTCAGAGATTTTTGCAATTCGTTCCAGTCATTGGCAGCAGAGAACTGTAAGGAATGGAGGCCAAAGGAGGTGTTGGCTTTGGGGATGACCAGTGAGATATACCTGCTGGAGTGCATACTACGGGTGGGTGTTGCTATGGTGACCAATGAGCTAAGATAAGGCGGGGATTTGCCTTGCAGTGATTTATAGATGGCCTGGAGCCAGTGGGTTTGGCGATGAATATTTAGTGAGGACCAGCCAACAAGAGCGTACAGGTCACAGTGGTGGGTAGTATATGGGGCCAGCCGTAGCAAAATGCTTGTGGAAATTCTCGATTATTGTAGATTTATTGGTGGTGATAGTGTTTCCTAGCCTCAGTGCAGTGGGCAGCTGGGAGGAGGTGCTCTTATTCTCTATGGACTTTACAGTGTCCCAAAAGTTTTTGGAGTTAGTGCTACAGGATGCACATTTCTGTTTGAAAAAGTTAGCCTTTGCTTTCCTAACTGCTTGTGTATATTGGTTCCTAACTTCCCTGAAAAGTTGCATATCGCGGGGGCTTTTTGATGCTAATGCAGTACGCCACAGGATGTTTTTGTGCTGGTCAAGGGCAGTCAAGTCTGAGGAGAACCAGGGGCTATATCTGTTCTTAGTTCTGTATTTTTTGAATGGGGCATGTTTATTTAAGATTGAGAGGAAATTACTTTTAAAGAACAACCAGGCATCCTCTACTGATGGAATGAGATCTATATCCATCCAGGATACCTGGGCCAGGTCAATTAGGAAGGCCTGCTCGCTAAAGTGTTTTAGGGAGCGTTTGACAGTGATGAGGGGTGGTCGTTTGACCGCGGACCCGTTACGGACGCAGGCAATAAGGCAGTGATCGCTGAGATCCTGGTTGAAGACAACGGAGGTGTATTTAGAGGGTAAGTTAGTCAGGATGATATCTATGAGGGTACCCATGTTTACGGATTTAGGGTTGTACCTGGTAGGTTCGTTGATAATTTGTGTGATTGAGGGCATCTAGTTTGGATTGTAGTAATATCAGTGAAGACACTTACCAGCTGGTCAGCGCATGCTCTGAGTATGCGTCCTGGCAATCCGTCTGGCCCTGTGGCTTTGTGAATGTTAACCTGTTTAAAGGTCTTATTCACATCGGCTACGGAGAGCGTGATCATTCAGTCGTCCAGAACAGCTGGTGCTCTCAAGCATGGTTTAGTGTTGCTTGCTCAAAGCGAGCATAGAAGGCATTTAGCTCATCTTGTAGGCTCAGTCATGGCACTGGACAGCTTGCAGCTGGGTTTCCCTTTGTAATCGGTGATAGTTTGCAAGCCCTGCCACATCCGACGAGCGGATTCAATCTTAGTCCTGTATTGTCGCTTTGCCTGTTTGATGGAGTGCGTAGCGGGATTTCTTATAAGCGTCCCGATTAGTGTCTCACTCCTTGAAAGCGGCAGCTCTAGCCTTTAGCTCAGTATGGATGTTGCCTGTAATCCATGGCTTCTGGTTGGTTACTGTGGGGACGACGTCATCGATGCACTTAATGTGACTGATGTGGTAAACTCCTCAATGACATCGGATGGGTCCCGGAACATATTCCAATCTGTGCTAGCGAAACAGTCTCGTAGTTTAGCATCCGCTTCATCAGACCACTTCCGTATTGTGACCGTACATACATATCCCAACCATAAACCATCCATTACAGGCAACATCCGCACTGAGCTAAAGGCTAGAGCGTATTCTTTCAAGAAATGGGTGTTGCAGAAGTAGTATGTAGACAACTGGGCTATGCTGTTTCAATGCTAAACCACTCTGTTCCAGAAGAGATACCAATGATACCGTTTAAATGTGATGGCTCTGAATCTGCAATTGAGTATTTTCCCCCATAGAAAGGATGCTCTATTTGAAGTAATTGATTTTGATTCAATACCATCCTATGTTGAGGTGATCTGCTCAGATCTCCTGCTCCAGCCTAATATCTCTCTGAATGCCCCAATGGGAGGGGTCTCCAGGAGCCAGAGGTGTTATGGGGCTACAGCTTCACCATCACCTCCTCCACAGTACCTAGGAGGCTCCTTCCTTCTCACGTTCACCGGCTCCAAGAGAACCCAGACTCAGCCAGCTGTCAATCACTCTGCTGCCTTCCTCTTCCCTGCTACAGATGACTTCCACCAAGGGAACTACACCTGTGATCATAAAAATTACCTCTGTCAAAACTTCTCTGATTCTCTCATTGTCACAGGTAAACTGAGCATGGAATTAACTTTTGACTTTGTCAATATTGACAGATTTCCACAGATACTTAGATCTGGGCCCGTTTTCAGTGTCTAAGAGTAGGAGACTGCTAAATTGTTATGGTCTCGCATGAATATAACACATCCAAAAATGCATAAATGAGCAAGCTAGAATGCTTTGAGATTTATTGTAATTATTCTGAGCTTTAATGCTTTGGCTAGAAGAAGAAAAAAGTAGAGTAAAATGTACAAATATGCCTTGTTTGATGTCCTGACTTAACAGTAGGAGTTCTTACATTACCTTCAAAAATGTACTCAAACAAAAGTAAAACGAAACAGATTTTTCCCATATAAAAACATTAATGAAAAATAGTGACCCTTCCTTCCTGTAATTATTTTGTGCATTGTTTAGGTTGGGAACAGTATGCCAACTAAGGCACAGTATACAGTTGTACATAAAACATACAACTGTTTCATTGTGGTTAAGTTATATTTTTTAAAACTACAATTGGATTTACTTCATTGCAGACATTTAATCAAGGAGGACTGATGGACTACTCAATTATATGATTTAGGACAAATCTGGATCAAACCTTGAAAAAAATGCAATTGGTGGACTGAAAATGAAACTTATACACCGACAAAGATAAGCTTACAGCATATTTTGTAATGTACGCAATGCTTCTGGTGAATGAGTAAGGATTAAAAACAAAGGCAAAATAGATGCAAGTTTTAAGGCAGATTTTTCCATGTTTAGGTATTGGTAAACTGGGTATTGACAACAGATATAAAATACACAATGGGTATCCAGTGCACCACAAATGTACAATATTTCAGTGCTACGTTTTCAATGACAAAGAGGCAAGCTGCAATAGTTACAACTGTCCAATTCTTATTTCAATTAACGATATGTACCCATTGATTCTTGAAGAATATAACCATCCCGTTGATCTCATGAACTGCGAGTCCTTGCATCCATATCTCCATCTGTCGTTTAGAGTGGTTACATTTGTCCGGCCTCAGCATCCCTCAGATTAATAGCAAACCAAGTGGCAGGGCTGCCGTTTGGCTGAAAAATTTATTATAACTTTAAACCACACTTGTTTCTAATACACAACTTGTTTTCACTTGCCACAGTTCATGTGCAGCAGAATTCCCTGGAAAATGAAATCATTATTTGGAGATACTCATTTACAGAATTGATAAGTCAGGATCAAGCACCTTGATTAGTTAAAAATAATTGCGTTTCCCCTCAGTGTTTCCTAAAAAAATTTTTTTATCTCTCCTTAAATTCACCCTCCTCTCTCTCAGTAGTCCATTAGTTCATCTTCAGGGAGAAGTGACATCAGGAGAGACCGTTGAAGTCCTCCACATGGTTGTGTTGACGTTGGGAGACCTGAGGGGCGGGTCATCATCCCCTTTCTGAGTTCAGTCACTGACTTCCTCACTCCGACTGGCGGAGATGTTGTCATTAAGAAAGTGCACACAGTAGAGTAGGTGGTAGACAAGATACAGTAGCTGTTCCCTCTGAGATCGTCTACATTGCCGTCAGCAACAGCAGACCGACTGATCAGACCTACAAACCACCTTTCATCCTAAATTACTACTCATTATGATTAGATCGGTCAGTCTGCAGCCGCCGGCAGCAACGTAGTCGATCTCAAACACACACTATGTATAGTAATCTAGCTTGCCGCCGATGGTCTTGCAGCCCTTGCTGGAGAAGATCTTTTCACTCTTGGGGAAATAGACCAAGTCTCTGGCCATCTGGTCGACCATGTCCTGGTCGGGCTCCAGGCCCTTGGCGGCCATCTCTGCCATGCCACACAGCATCACGTGTCTGTACTCCAGAGGCAGGAAGGGGACGAAGAAGTCAACTAGGTTCTTGTCTATCAGACTAGTGTGCCACAACCCACCTACACAAAGGGAGGGAGGGAAGGACACAGTCATAAGATGGGCAAGAAGACACTACCACCAATTGCTTACCCAATCCTCTCAGATGTACCTAGGGGGTAAGGATAGTCATAAAATGGACAGGGGCAAGAAGGGCAGATGGACAGAATATAGATATCACCCGTAATCTTCGTATTGAAGGTCTGAAAAGTCCCCAATAACATCCCCAGCCTTCTAACCCCAGGCTTAGTAACAAAGGAGAAAACCTTAGAGAAATATATGTGTATGATTTGTTAAATATGAACAATAGTTACCAAAGTGTATATGTTAGGCTTCAGCCCTAAAGAAGGACGGCAAAGAGGTGGCTTACTCTGCTTGTTGTTGAACACGGACAGGGAGAGAGCTGGTTCTAAGTGTTGCAATTTCATCTCCTCTCGGTCTCGACCTGCTTTCCAGAAGTCCAGGGCCACCTGCGTGATGTGCTCTCCTCCAGCATTGCTATGGAGATTAGCAAAACAAACTAGTAGATATTAAAGTTGCACTATGCAGAAATCACCATTTCCTGGTTGCTAAAACTCTAATAGTTCGCCTAATTTCAGTTTATGTGACAAAATAAGCTAGTATAGTGTAGAGAATCATTGTACCATCTAAACCGCTGTGAAATATATTTTCTACAACTAATAATATTGTTGTTTCAGCTGTTTGAAGCTGGTGTACAAAACCAAAAGTAAAAGACACAAAAACAAAACATAAGAATGGAAAGCATAGAATTAGCGCACATGACAGATCTACTGCTTCTTAGACTTGCTTTCAAGTAGAATGATAGATCTGTAACTCACATTTCTATGTGAATTTGGTCGGGTCGAACAAAAAGTTGCATATTGCCACTTTAAGCTGGGTCCAACGTTATTTTTCTTCCTCACTGGTGCGGACATGGAGTAGTGTATAAATGCATTAGGTTCATGTGTGGTGATTTTATTTGCAAAATAAAACATCTGAAGTAACTGAACTTTAGTTTTGGGGGGCCGTATCTGATTGACACTGACTTTTAGCTAAGTAAAACCATGGTCATTACAAAGAGTCGTTAAATTGTGGGAAAGATAATATGATGCATGTCTGTAATATATTTGACTGTAAATCCAGTAAAAAATATAATAATACCAAAGTATCCAAAAACAACACATTAATTCTTATCACACACTGCTGCTCCGTACGCCCTACCTGAGGAAGATGAAGATGGCTTGGCGGTAGGAGACCCCGTCCAGATTTTCGTAGTAGTCCAGGTAGGGTTTTATACAGTCGATCAGGCCAGGGTGCATCTTGTCCATCTCGTCAAAGATGAACATGGAACGTGGGCAGTTGGTGACATTGCCTTTGATCCACTGCTGCAGCTGAGACTGAGGGATGGTCACAACAGTTTAAACACAGACTTATCTACAGCAGTGAAGACAGCTTACAGCATAGCTGCAAAATATATTTTAAAAAATTATTCAGCTGTACATTCTGTATCATAAAGAACCCTCTAATTTAAATGTGGACCTTGAAGCCAGTCTAACCAGGGACTGATTTAGACCTGGGACACCAGGTGGGTGCAATTAATAATCAGGTAGAACAGAAACACAGCAATACTCCGGACCTCGTAGGGTAAGATTTGAATACCCCTAATATAGAATATGCATAAGAGTGATTTTGTTTTTACAGCCTAATTCTCTATTGAGAATTTCCATGCCACGGTTACTGGGGATTACACTTCAATATAACAAAATACTTGTTTTACCTTGTAGTTCTCAATCTGACTCAGATGAGGGAAGTGAGCTGTAGACACAAACTGATGGACGAAACTGCTGGTCATGCCCTCCTTGTAGATGTTTTCAGCTATCAACTGGCTGACGAAGTTCTTCCCTGTGCCAGTCCAGCCATGTAGAGAGAGCACCAGGGGCTTTTTAGGGTTTTTATTGTTCATGAAACCCGTTACAGCTTTCTGGATGACTCTGGAGGCAACATGTTGACCAAACAGCTTCCGATCTAGGGCCACTTCCAAACCTGATGACCGGGCAGAAGTCGATTATTAGTGTCAACGAATGGGACATGTGCTACGAATATACCACCATTATTTCTATACAAATAACAGGTGGTTATCTTCATAACGTGATTAGTTATGCATGTAGGATACATCTGCTAAGTAGGCTAGTGGTGCGCGGGTCAGCTGTTTGCTCACCCTCACCCGCCCACAATTGCTAATAACCCATTCACAACCACCAGACTATGTAAAAAAGTGAAAATCTGTGGCCAGCATCCGACCCGAGCCCGCTAATATAGAAAATCCGCTGTAGGCTACAGTCAGATGATGGAACCATTTTGTCAGTGGGTGCAGGATTTTTTTTTGCCTGATTTAGATAGGCTATGTTTCTGCTTATAATTTCCAACATTTTGGTAGGTATTGATCTGTCAGTTTCCCTAGCTAAATCCCTACTTTTCACACTGACACTGTATAAACAGCTATACAGAATTCACGGTCATGGTGAACGGTCAGTACTCAACACAATATCGATGATGATGAATGGATACAGGTATGTTTGAATGCCCAGTCATGTTCATATAACCTCAGACATAAATTACTGCAGTTTAAGACCATCCATAGAACATCTTATATGCCAGTGAAACTGAATATCATGCACTCAGAAATGTAATTCCTCTGCTGGAAGAGTAAAACACAAAAGGGGACATATTTGCATATGTTATGATCTTGTGAAGGCTGGCTGAATTCTGGCAAAGAGTATGTTATTTTATCTCAGCATGTCTACAGATTCTCCCTTCTCCCTGGTTTTGTTTGCTTGGAAATGTTGATACTGGAAAAAATCTGTGTAACCAAGCATTTATAGTGGCTAATAAATGCATTGCCATTAATTTGAAGGTTGGTTATCCTACCACAATGGAAGGCAGAAATGTCAAGTTATGGATCACTAGATTTGATTTATTACAAGATTAAGGGTATACTGTGCAACTTTCATACGGTATGGGTGCCTCATATGGAATAGCCTACTGTATGACAAAAGGGGTCTGCATTATTTATTTTTGTCGAGCAGGTGATTTGCACCTGTCTCAGTTGACTAATCCATTGACGAGGCCGCGGGGAAGCCATGGTCCAAGAATATGGGGATTATGGCTCAGATGCACAAGGCACGTCTCTCTCCAGAATGCACTCTTCCACCATTTCGTGGGTATTCATTGTTTTATAACTTCATTGTGTGCATTGTTTGCTTTGTCTATCAATTCCCCATTACATACATCACCAGTAGTAGCCTACATTTATTGTTAATTCTCATAATTGTTTGGTTATGGTAAATTCTGTTAATGCATTCAATATATTATTATTACAGTAATTTACCATATATATGGAAAAATACAAGATTTAAAATTTCGATTAATTTGATTGGTCGAAAGAAAAGACTACTCTTGGTTGACCAAGATTTTCAAAAATGTTTTTGCCAGGGCCAGCCCAAGTAGAAATGCAGTAAATGAGCTTTAGATGCCCCAAAAAAAATCTGGGGGAGGACCCCCTGCCAGGTTATGTCCTCCCCCACTTCTAAAACCAAAGTTGCGCCCCTGATGTGAAAACTACTTCTAAGCGGCATAGATTCAGATGTTCCCAACTCACTTCACTCGTGCTAAACAGGTAGGCTTGCTCTACCGGTGCTGACACATGCGCAGATCACCTTTGGAACGCACACCTTTGGAACGCCGATAAGGTGTTTAGATGTCCTAATAATTCGAAAGATTGCTCAGAAAACTAGGTGTTTTAATTGGCGTATGTTTATTTCGATTTTGATCTTACGACGATTAAGACAAGCAGAGTAAGGTGTTTACATGACTATCGCATAATATGCCTACTGCCGTAATGTATGCACTCACTAAAACTGTAAATCGCTCCGGATAAGAGCGTCTGCTAAATGACTAAAAAGTTAATGTATTCAGTTTAATATCCAATTATTTCCGTGCATGTAAACGTAGCCTACTAGTCGTTATTGCCTACGTCGATCGATTTTTCTGCCAGTTCCCATTTGGCGATTTGGCCCTTGTACAGTTAGGCCCTAAAGTTTAGGTTTATGCACTTATGCCAGATAAACTAAAATAATGACATAAAAACTTCAATGTAGCCAATAGATATAAACTGCACAAGACTGATACATATATGGATTTAGGGTATTGTTTTCTCAAGCCGCCTGCCACCCACCCGCACTTCATCCACACAATATTGACTGACCCTAAAGCCAACCCTCGTATTCTAGAGTAGGCCAACGGTATATTGGTGGAGATCTATAAGCAATTGCAAGATTAAAACGCAAAAGGACTGACTGTCTACATTATCAAATAGCCTAAGTAAACCACGAGAACACATAAACCATCTTATATTTAGCAGTACACATACCTGTTGAATTAAAATCAATCCATTTTGAATCGCAACTTTCATATAAATAATTGTACATTTTCTGCCCCACTGCTGCTAGGCCTACTCCCGCACCGACCACAAATGTGGTTGAGATTGGTTCGAACGCGTTCACAAAAACACTCGATATCAAAACATAATATCCGAAAAAGGTTTTGTATGTTGCTCTCATTTTCACTTCAAATAAACATTTAGCTACCTAGCTTATCATTTAGGAGTGAAAAGACGCTAGGAGTGCAAGTCAGCTCGTTCCTACTACGTAATCATTATGCGACACCAACACAGCAAAAACTAATCTGTATCAAAAGTGTCGTCACCAGGTATAATCCTGCGTTCAGATACTAGTCGGAAATACGAAACTCGGACATTTCCGGATTGCTAACTGTTTTAGTTGCACGTGTAGCGTTCAATTAATCATCAAGTCGGGCCATTTCCGAGTTTCCTAGTTCCGACTACTATATGAACGCGGCATAATAAATAAACACAGCCACAAATGGCTAAACCCCGCCTATTTATACAATTGATCTTGTTAAAGTCCGATTTTAAACATAACCCTAACCACACCACTAGCCCTGTGTCTAACCTGAAATGAAGACCAAAAAGCGATATTTTATTTTCATGCTTTTTAACGATATAGCCCATTTTGACTTTGCTGGTTGTCACTCGTTACCACAGCCACAAAAGGGATCGCATTCAACATCGGCTACGTTCGGCCATGGTTTTTCACATGATGTCATTCGGCATTTCACAATTTCAAAGTTAAAACTGCAAATGATACTCAAAAAGCCTACAATGTTAAGGGACAGAGGTGTTCCGGCTGAGCCAGAGAGATGCAAGTAGCCAAGGAAGGACCACAATACCTTTACTTACTACAAACGATAATATGTTCAGAAAACCTAAAGTTGCAACGCCGTTAATACATATAGGAAATGCCCCCCAAAATAAACGTTACCACACCAATACTAAATGTTCAACGTACCTGTTCTGTTGAAGGAGATCCACTCTGGTCTACAACATTCGTGAAAATAGTAAAACATGTTCTGGTAGGTTGCGAGGAAGCCGGTGAGAGCCGCAGCCATCCCAACCGCTATGCTGGTACTGATGGGTTCAATCGACGCCGTCGCAGTGATGTTAGAAAACAGAAACCCCAACAGAAAAATCTGTCGCATATTTGGCAGTGTTTACTAGCTAGCTAGCTGTGTATATTTACCTAAACAAACTTGATTGCAGACTAGGTTAAGTAAAATTAGATACAAAATGGTATTGAAGAGTATAGCCAAAACACCGCCTGAGCGAGCCACAACTCTGTTGGCTGAGCTGCTTCTTCTTCTATGATTTAATGGCGGTCCGCAAACCAACATTAAAGGTGCATGCCGCCACCTACTGTGCTGTAGTGTGTGGTCAATCATGGTTTACAAATCAAATAAAATCCAACGTTATTTGCCACATGCGCCGAATACAACAGGTATAGATAGACCTTACAGTGAAATGCTTACTTACAAGCCCTTAACCAACAAGGCCGTTTTGAAGAAAAATAAATAAAGTAAAAGTAAAAAATAGCAAATAATTAAAGACATTTCATATCCTCCTTCCTAACTCAGTACTTCTGAGAAAATACAAAAGAGCCCTACTAACTTCTAATAGACCCTCCCCCATCCCCCAAATCCCTTCCAAACCCCCCCAACCTCAATGACCCTACACTTCAATATTTCCCTCTCTTCAACATACTTACAACAATATAACAACACATGCTCCACCGTTTCACCGATCATACACTCCAGACACAAACCATTCACATGCTTGCCAACCAGATGTAATGACGAGTTCAATGTACAATGTTCTAAGCGCAATCGAGCGAACACCACCTCTTCCTTCCTAATCTGACCTTTAAATGTAGCTCAGGGATGTAGGGATGTAGCTCAGTTGGTAGAGCATGGCGTTTGCAACGCCAGGGTTGTGGGTTCGATTCCCACGGGGGGCCAGTATGAAAAATTAAAATAAAATAATGTATGCACTCACTAACTGTAAGTCGCTCTGGATAAGAGCGTCTGCTTAATGACTAAAAATTTGAAATGTAAATCTTGGTCCACTGACCTTTCTTTGGAGGGCATATAAATGCCGGCCCTTGTGCTGAGAGCTCCATCTCTTCTGCCACATCTATCAAAATGGCTCTGATCTTACATTTGGCCTCACCTCTACCCAGTGGAACATTAATATCAATTAAAGCTCTTTTAGCTAACTGGTCTACAATTTAATTCCCTTCCTCACTCGAATGTGCTGGGACCCAGCAGAATCTCACTAATACACCCATTCTCTCAATTCTCCGTAATAACATTAATACCTCCAATATTAGGTCACTCCTATTAGATTTACCAGATGATAAACTATTCAATACAGACAGAGAATATGAGCATACTATAATTCTAACAGTTTGTAGGCCCTCCACCCACTGTAGGGCAACTATTATCGCCAACAGTTCAACTGAGTATACTGAAAGTTCATCTGTTAGTCTTCTACATATCTGCACATCAAATTCAGGAATTTAAACGCCTGCTCCCGTGCGCCCACTATCTGGGTCCTTGGATCCATCTGTGAAAAACAGTTTAAAAAAGCATAAAAACTTCTACCAATGTAATTGTCAACCAGTTTCCCTACATCACTGACTTCTGACCAATCTTTCCTTTTCTCTACCAAGGTTAGATCAACAACAGGATCTGGGAGGAACATCCCCTATCACCACAGAAGGGCCAAACTCCAACTCCCTCAAACCACTCTCATCAGCAAGCTTTCCAACCAAAAACCACTACCTTGTCTACTAGTATATTCCCAACAGTCATCTAGAACAGGAGCAGTGGGATGCTCAACCTCACAGCCTTTCAACCTAATATGCTAATGACCATTTTTTAAGCTGTATATCCAAAGGCATCTCTCCTGCCTCCACCAGTAAGGCACATACAGATGTTGATTTAAATGCACCAATACATATCCTTAAAGCTATATACTGGATTCTGTCCAGCTTCTGAAGCCAAATCTTCGCCGCTGTTCCATAAACTATACACCCATAATCAATTGTCGTCCTGATCAGAGCTCTATAAATATCCATCAACGATTGTCTGTCAGCACAGACTATGCACACTAGGCTCCCGAGTGGCGCAGCGGTCTAAGGCACTGCATCTCAGTGCTTGAGGCATCACTACAGACCCCCTGGTTCGATTCCAGGCTGTATCACAACCGGCCGTGATTGGGAGTCCCATAGGGCGGTGCACAACTGGCCCAGCGTCGTGCCAGTGTAGGCCGTCATTGTAAATAAGAATTTGTTCTTAACTGACTTGCCTAGTTAAATAAATACGATTCACCACCTTCTTACACTTTGTTTCAACATTTATGACATGATATTTCCATTTATATCGCTCATTGAACCATAGACCCAAATATTTGTACTTAGAAATCCTCCATACAGAAACAACTGTATATTATCAGCAACTTTCTTCTTTGAGAAGAACATACAAGACTTCGCCACTGACAATTTAAAACCCCAATCAATCAACCATCTTTCAACATCCACTATAGCTTGTTGAATAGATTTGATCACAAGAGACATTCCTTCCCCTCTTGCAAATAGCTCCATCAGCATATAGGGAAGCCCCAATACCCCTACCTACATTCACAAACACATCTTTCATCATAATGTTGAACAAAATAGGACTGATAGCACTGCATTGAGGAATACCATTGTCAACTCCATAGGTATCAAATAAAATGGATCCTATTTTAAAATCGAAAAGAGCGACTAAATAAGAAGGCCAAAACCCAGTTATATAATCTCAAACCAATACCAACACCTTCTCTCCACATAGTGTCATACGCCTTTTCAATGTCAAAAACAACAGTAACCATTACTTCTTTCATGAGTTCTCAACTTCATCGCTCACCTTTAGTAATACCTCCAAAGTAGATCTACCTTTAAGGAATTCACTTTGACATTGACTCAATAAACCTCTATGTTCCAGGAAATATGACAATCTATTGACTATCATCTTTTCCATCAGTTTACACAAGTTAGAGGTCAGTGCTATTGGTCTATAACTATCAGCACAAGAAGAGTCTTTACCAGGCTTTACAAAAGGTAATATTACTGCACGTTTTCAACCAGAAGGTATAACCCCCTCACTCCAAATCGTATTAAATAATCCCAGGAGAACATGTATGACCTCATCAAGTAGATGCTTAAACATTACATTGCACAACTGATCATGACCTGGGGCTGTATATCCACAGCCTTTTAAGGCTGAACGCATCTCATGTATGGTAAAAACAGAATCCAAAGAAGAGTCAACTTTTCTTATACATATTAACATGAGCATTTCAAATCTCACACCTGCGTTTAAAGTGGTCCTATGGACAGATACTCCAATCTCCGCTGTGGAGCTTTGCAGCTCCTTCAGGGTTATCTTTGGTCTCTTTGTTGCCTCTCTGATTAATGCCCTCCTTGCCTGGTCCGTGAGTTTTGGTGGGCGGCCCTCTCTTGGCAGGTTTGTTGTGGTACCATATTCTTTCCATTTTTTAATAATGGATTTAATGGTGCGCCGTGGGATGTTCAAAGTTTCGGATATTTTCTTATAACCCAACCCTGATCTGTACTTCTCCACAACTTTGTCCCTGACCTGTTTGGAGAGCGCCTTGGTCTTCATGGTGCCGCTTGCTTGGTGGTGCCCCTTGATTAGTGGTGTTGCAGACTTTGGGGCCTTTCAGAACAGGTGTATATATACTGAGATCATGTGACAGATCATGTGACACTTATATTGCACACAGGTGGACTTTATTTAACTATTTATATGACTTCTGAAGATAATTGGTTGCACCAGATCTTATTTAGGGGCTTCATAGCAAAGGGGGTGAATACATATGCACGCACCACTTTTCCGTAATTTATTTTTGTGCATTTTTTGAAACAAGTTCTTTTTTTAATTTCACTTTACCAATTTGGACTATTTTGTGTACGTCCATTACATGAAATCCAAATAAAAATCAATTTAAATGACAGGTTGTAATGCAACAAAATAGGAAAAACGCCAATGGGGATGAATATTTTTGCAAGGCACTGTACATCAACCAGCCTCTCTAAAGACAACTGTCCAACAGACTTATCAGATCTGATTTAACAATAACCAGGAATAATAAAATATAGATGTGGTCACATCAGGTTTGAGCTCTAAATCTATTACATATTTCTTAAACTCCTGACTGTTAGCAATA